TTTCATGGCAGCCGTTTACCAGTACGCCATTGCCGCCCACGCTGTCGTTGTGCATCCGCTGTCAAACACCGGCGACCTGCAATGAAACTAAGACGACGGTTCAGTCGGACAGCGCCCGTTTCGCGTCGCATTTGTTCGTGTCATTTTCTCCTAATATGCCCGCTGGGACGAAAACAATCCATACAGCCACCGCGAACACCGGTAAAAGTGTTGCAAGCACCACAGCGCCATCGGTTTGCCATAACAAACACTCGCAACCCGGAACGCGAAATTACATTTTAACTGGTACTTTTGCTTCCGGTAATAGAACCTTGACCTTTTCAATCATAATTTTATGTATCATCAATCATCTCTGATCTTTATAATAGCTTTTGCTCTTTTAATTCTTCAGTGTGCTTTTGTACAGATTCCCCGTTCGAGCGCCCCGGGGCCGAAATGGTCACCGTCCACTGGCAGGCTCGCCGCGCCGACAACCTGTGGGCTTTTTCGGATGCCGAAATAGTGGTGACACTGCGCGATCTTAACGACCGACCATTCAATCACACCAACGTAACAACCACTCCTCTCACGGGGGAATTCACGCTTCGATTACCACGCACCAAAGACTACAATATCCTTTTCGAAACCTCTGGATACGCAGGATTTTCATATTTTCCAATCACACTGCGCAACTTCACCCAGGTGCTCAACTTAGGCAGGGAAGTCTTCATGGAACCACTGATGTTCATTCGGAGTAATTTGAAGGGGATTGGCAACGCAGCAGGAGCCATACGCCTGGTCAATACTAGCGGTGCTTATTCAGTGTCAGGAATTCAAGTGCAGCTGCGAGCTGGAATAAATAATGTCACGGGTCCGATTGCGTCGAACACAACAACGACAAATGGCACGTGGTCACTGGCGCTCCCCGGAGGACCCTACACAGCTGTTGCTGTGTATACAGGATCAAAGCCGGAGGACAAGTTCACGGGTCCGCCGTTCACTGTGCAAGCGGTACCTGGAGGGTGGGATAACCTGCGTGACTGGGCTATAACGCCACAGTTTGCGAAGGGGGACATCCGAATCGTCCTGCGAGCGACTGGAATGGTAGCTAACGGCTATTTCGACCAGGCCGATGTTAAATTGCTGGTGTCCGGTCCGCTGCAGAACAATCCCACTCAACGTGCGGAGGTGCGCGAAAATGCCACTACCAGTGCCGATAAACTAATGGTCCACGATTACACGGACCGGATATTTGGTAGCGTCCTGATCCGCAAGCAACTGGACGGTGTCTATCGTATACTCGTCCAGGAAACCGATGCGCTAAGGGCAAAACCGGAGACCCGATGGCCGCAGTGGAATCTGGCCAACTCGCAGGCCACCGTGGAGATCTACCGTGGCGATACACTGTGGGCGCAGTATTTTGTGCCGATTATTACTGGAAATACGTGGACGGTTGCCGAAATCAGCGGACCGCGCCTCACTGTGATCAACGAAATGAGCAAAGTTACCGGTACATAATTTTGCAGCCATGGGGAAAATTCACGGAATGGGTTCCAACGACTTGTGTTTTACTAATTAGGCAATGTCATACTGTATGGCGTTGCCTTATTAGTAAATTAAATATTTGTATTACCATAAAACGTTGTAATGCAGATCCGAGAAATGACTCACATAGATTATAGAAAGTTGTTCTTGGGCAGAGAATTAGCTGGACTGTGATTTCTATACAGTTTTACTTGTTAAGGGCACCATTTACCACGGAAGTGTTCGTGTTGTATAATTGCTTGCTGGGTTTTCGCGTACAATTGGACGTTTTTTTCATACCTTTGCTCAGTTTGCTGTTTGTTTTCTCAAAAGAAACATCGTGAGTGGCTACGGTTTCCACGGTACTTATGCAAACTCGAAAGAACCATTAACAATTTTACATGCAGATGCATCATGATCAGTACGATATTAACGAAAAGCAGTGTTTTCATGAAAATCGCAAACAAACAGCTCGGTAATGGAAGGAAGTGGGAAGAATGTTGCGGAAAGCAGCAGAGAATGGCAGATTGTAATGTGGATTCAAACACGTTAAATCAGCATTTCGCAGATATTGGACAGTCACACCATGGCTTTTCGCACGTCCCACCTGACGTTGTAATGTCCATACTCCAACAAATAAAGTAAAGAAAACAGCATCAGGACCGTTCGGAATGCCAGCTGGCCTGCTCGGTGGGGTTGCGTCTGTCCTTGTTCCCCCGTTGACCCACATGGTAAGCAAGTCGCAACGAACGGGTGTATTTCCATCAGTGTTTAAAATGGCGGACGTCCATCCGCTTTCAAAAGTGGCTGCCGCTCGCAGTGCTGACGATTTGCGGCCGATATCACTGCTATGCAATATATCCAAAGTTTTCGAACGATGTGTGCAGATGCAGTTACCTGATTTCCGGCAGACAGAGCCGTAGCGAGGTTCGAGCGATGGGGGTGCGCAGAAGCCCCAAAATGGCTGCGCACCCCCCAAAAGCAATTACGCCCGCCCCTTCGGCCTTCCGGAAAGGCCACTCGTGGGAAATGCTGTTAACCAAAGTGACAGATGCATGGATACATACAGTCCATGGATCGAGGGGATGTCACGGCAGTTGCATTCCTCGATTTAAAAAAGGCGTCCGATCCGTTTAACTTGAATGGCTTCTGGTCAAGCTGAAAGAAAATGGCATCAACGGCGAAGTATTGAAAAGGTTTTATTTCTGCCTAACCGGCCGCCGGCCGCGCGTGAAAACACAGAAGGGTGTCTCCGACTGGTTACCTACTTGGTACTTTTTATCGTCACTACCTGCGTATGGCGCGGTGTTTACATCATTATCGGATTAATCTGCGAATCCAGACAAGAAGTCTTTATGGCTAGCGTTACGTACGTTCGCAGACCGCCGGTGCGACAATGTGACAGTGACACTACGATAGGTGTGTCTGCAATCTCCAGAATTAATGAGAGCACCCCGGACCTCGCATGAACACGTTCGCCTTTGCACGGTCGTTGCCCCTTCCGGTCGGCGAATTCGAAGTCCGTTACGGAAACTGGAGCTTCACGCTGGAGCTTGATTCCGACCTACCAAATGCACTTGAAACATTCGAGCTAAGCGACGCGATATCTACGCCAGCGAATATATCAGCATCAACATCGGCATCTGCTGGGGCTGCCCGGTTTCGCATAATTTAGAATACGGTAAGTGGGACTGCGATCCGGACACTTATATATTCGGTATGTGTGTTGTTGCAGGAAATGCATGTGACGTGTACACTATTTTTACTTCACAAACATGAGAAAATATCACAAGATTCGTTTTCTGGGCACTGAAACAGAGATCAGCACAATCCGTGCTCCTAAATCAAATCTGTACGCCCTTTTTTCATGATCACAGGGAACAATTTGCTAATTGTTCCAAACAGCAAACAATAATACAAGGATCCCAATTGGAAACATACTACTGAATAAAGCGCACGTTTCTGGTGTATTAAAGATAACGAACTGTCCGGAAAACCTGACAGAATTAATCGTCTGCATGATCTTGTTGATGAACGACCTTTTACCGGATGCTGAGGCTCGTTGTGTTTCGTCAGCGCAATCGGCCGCACAAATCCCAGTTGGCATTCCTCGCACTTATACTTAAAATCCTCAAAAGTTATCCGCTTTCGCGGATCGTCATAGCCCGGCTGAGAGACCGGCCGAAAGTCTCAAAAGCTAGAGCAACAAACTAATACTCGGTTGCCAGATACTCGTATTTCCGGCACTTCTCTTTTTCCGCTTTTCTAGCCGCTTCCCGGCTTTGATACTGTTGCTGATGCCGTTAGACAAGGTAACCGTGTCCACACATATTACTTCCCAAGCCAGTTGTAATCCGTTTCTCCAAGTCAGCTGTGATACACCATCCGGCCGAAGATTATCATAACTCTCATCTTTAGCGTCAAGGTTGCTTCACTCTCATCTTGCCGCACTGGTCGCACTGTACACACACTGTGACATTTTGACCTTTTCGGCTTCTTTCCCAACTGCACGTAGAGTCGATGGTAATACAAGTTTGGATGCTTTTCGAACTGCATCCAAACACATTCCGTTGTCTGACAAACACCGCACGTCTGCAACCGCGTCGCATCATGGCACGTCTGCTAATGCACGTTGACCAGCGGATAATTTGGCAGGATCATATCACACGCCGAACAAGGATACATTTGTATCCTCAATTGACGCTGTGCTCCACGACATGACTATCTTTCTCGATGAAGCATTGCCGGTCTTCCTAAGAAAATTAATTACTGTAGCTGGAACAAACAAAGTTTGTTTACGGGATATTAAAACGCATTAGCATCGTGTATGCTTCACTCTGCTGCTGTTGTTTACGCATCTTCGCCATGCTTTTTTGATGTGACGCGCAGCCACTGCTTCCGGTAATGGCTTCCCTCTCACGCGTGCTGGCTGCGGTATATGCAGTCTCAAATGTCTGCGAGTTATCTCAGCAGTTTCTGTAGTAATTGCCGATAAATGCCGATACTTCCGGGTTGTTCCGTCGTAGCACTTGGCTGCCGGCTGCGTCGAGGGGCTTTCAAGAAAATTGGAATGGAACCCGGAAAATGGTGACTATATTGCCGCTCGAACGGCAAGAGCAAGCTGCTGTTATGCAATGCATGTACCTGGGGATGCATTTAATTTACAATCCCTCACCAGTCGGCAGGCTATGCCGACCGGTAAAGCACTACTCGAGTCATAATTCGAGGCACCGGTAGTCATAATCATTACGGCCACTGCAGGCAATGATAGTTAACAATTATTACGGTGGCGGTAAGCTATGATAATTAAGATGATCAGTTACCATGATATTCTTAAAAGGCTGTCATTATATTGGCAAGATTTATTGAGCGACGGAAAAAGTGCTGCGTAAAATACTGAATTCCGTACAAAATACCTAATCACACAACTGCGTGCAGCTTGCGGCAAATCCAGGTAATCTACTCATATGGCGTATAAATAACAGTTGTAAGAAACGCAAAAGTCTGAAGACTGGATCATTCCTGTACAAAACTTATGATAACGATACCGGTGCTGTAACGCCACCGACGTTTATAATTCGTGGAACTTGTACTCTGTACCTTTCTTGTTCCTCTGGTCGCTCATTTAATACGTCAATGATGCACCAATTCGGATACCGAATACTGCTCTTTTGTCTTTCTTTTGGCATGGCTTATAGTGGTACGTGCACATTTTACAGTTTTATTCTATTATTGTTATTATGGCTGTAGGTAATACCGGGTACATATCTGTAGTGACGAAATCGGCTGCTCCAGTCGCGCTTAAAGGACAAAAAGATGAAATAGGCGGCTGCACCTTAAATATTGCATATCATAATAATAATTAGGATTATTATCGTATAAGGTTTATTTAAAGAGTGACATTGTAGCCACCCCTAACACCTCCGCTTTTTATAGCCACCCCCCTTTCCGCTTCCCGTCAATTATAGACACCCTTTTCTAATTCATTTATTTTTTTAACACACCCTGGATTTTTATAGCCACCGTATTTGCAATTAAATGCACTTTCGCGCAAATACAAGATAATAATATTATGATGCAATGTTTGCGACGTACGCGTTAGATACGGACCATACTGTTACTGTACCATGATCGCTAGAAGTAGTGGTTTCCTTATTTGAAAGTCCGGTTATAGCAATTTCGTACTTTGCTGTTTTTCCAGTCCCATTTAATGACGCTGACCTCAGCGCACCGAGCTTTACCGTTCCCTACAACAGCCTCCAGATTGCGATTTTCAACAAGACTTCTCCGGCACCGCATCCAACCTTCTATTACGCACCAGTCGCCACTCTCCTCCCGGATGCGACGGAAATCTTCCTCGACCCGGCAAGCGGAACCAACTGTGTCTTTGTCGAAATCAAGTTGTGGGATAAGGATTACGTGTCGGCTATCCAAGACGCCGTCATACAGCGCACAAAAGATCCACAGACCGTCGTTTCTCTAATTCCCTTCCAATGGACTCGAATAGAGTACGCGCCAAACAGTGCTGCTCCCAGCTTCAGCAACAGTTCGATTTCATGGCAGCCATTTACCAGTACGCCATTGCCGCCCACGCTGTCGTTGTGCATCCGCTGTCAAACACCGGCGGCCTGCAACGAAACCAAGACGGCGCTGCAGTCGGACAGCGCCCGTTTCGCGTCGCATTTGTTCGTGTCATTTTCTCCTAATATGCCCGCTGGGACGAAAACGATCCATACAGCCACCGCGAACACCGGTAAAAGTGTTGCGAACGCGACAACGCCATCGGCGGGCTGCCACAACAGAATCCAACCCGGTATGTGAAATTACCTTTTAACCGGTACTTCTGCTTCTGGTAACAGAACCTTGACCTTTTAACACAATATTATGAATTAAGTAAACATGAGCCCGTCTCACAACAGCGGCAGAAAGTGAAAACATGGGCTTGAGCCAATCGGCAGGCTTAAGTACACTGCGCTACTGTAATTTCATCCTGTACGGCAAAGCGTGCATGATGCTGCTGCACTCACCTTATCCCAGAATTAGAGCCACTGCACTACGATATTTTCTCGATATTATTGGTGGTGTCCGTGATTTCCTTGGTATAATCATCTATTATCTTTATATTAGCTATTGCACTGATCGTTCAGACGTGTGCTTTGTATAGAATCCCCGTTCGACCGCCCCGGGGTCGACATGGTCACCGTCCACTGGCAGGCTCGCCGAGCCGACAATCTGTATGCCTTTTCCGATGCAGTTATCGTGGTGACACTTCGCGACCTTAACGACAAACCTTTTAATTCCACTAACGTAACAACCACTCCTCTCTCGGGAGAATTTACGCTTCGACTACCACGCACCAAGGACTACAACATCCTTTTCGAAACCTCTGGATTCGCAGGATATCCATATGCTCCCATCACACTGCGCAACTTCACCCAGGTGCTCAGCTTAGGCAGGGAGGTCTTCATGGAACCGCTGATGTTTACTCGCAGCGAATTGAAGGGCATTGGCAAAGCAATGGGAGCCATACGGCTGGTCAACACTAGCGGCGCCTATTCAATGTCAGGAGTTCAAGTCCAACTGCGAGCTGGAATAAATAACGTCACGGGTCCAATTGCGGCGAATACTACGACGATAAACGGCACGTGGTCAGTGCCGCTCCCGGGAGGACCCTACACAGCTGTTGCTGTGTATACAGGATCGAAGCCGGATGACAAATTCGCGGGTCCTCCGTTCACTGTGCAAGCGGTACCTGGAGGATGGGATAACATGCGTGACTGGGCACTAACACCACAGTTTGCCAAGGGAGACGTCCGAATCGTCCTGCGAGCGACCGGACTGATAGCTAACGGCAATTACGGCCCGTTCGATGTTAAACTGATGGTTAAGGGGCCGCTGCAGAACAACCCCATCCAACGTGCCGAAGTGAACGCAAATGTCACTGTCAGCGCGGACAAACTCATGGTCTACGATTACATGGACCGGATATTTGGTAGCGTTCTTATAAAGAAGCAACTGTCCGGTACCTATCGGATATTCGTCCAGGAGACCGATGCACTACGGTCAAAACCGGAGACCCGATGGCCGGAATGGAATCTAGCCAACTCGCAGGCCACCGTGGAGATCTACCGTGGGGATACACTATGGGCACAGTATTTTGTGCCTATCAGCAGTGGAAACACTTGGACGGTTGCCGAAATCAACGAAAAGCGCCTCAATGTGATCAACGAAATGGGGTCCGTTAAATAATTCTGTGGTCACTGGGGAAACTCGTCCTTCCTATGAATTGCAAGCATTACAGCGATTTATGGTAATGTACAGGTCTGGTGATATACCATCTGTAGTACCATAAATCGTTGTAATGCTGGAATTCGACTAGGACGAGTGATACCACATCCACATAATTTAATATTTCGCTAATTAGACACAGGTCAGAGAAAGTCGTTCTTGGGGAAGGGATTCAAGCTGGGTGGTGATTTCTGCAATTTTACTGGTTAAGGGCATTTACGTACCGCGGTAGTGTTGTACAACTTCTTTGTGGGTGTCACGCGTACAGTTGGAAGTTTTTACCATTAAAAATGCGTTTGCTCAGACTGCTGCTTGTCTTCGCAAAAGAGACATGGTGGGCGCGGTGACAGTTTACACCGTGACAGTACTTGCGCAAAACCCTAAACAAATATTAACATAGGTTGGTAAGTACGATAATAAAAATCTTTTTCTATTTCGCTTTCGCTAAATCAGATCATGAAAATAACAGACTTAAATAAGTATAAATCGAAGTACTGTACAAATAAGTTAAAGAAATAAGTTAGTTCGGTGCTGACATCGATCATTAAGCAGGAAGCATCAATCCATGATGGTTGTTAATTCTTTCGTTTTTAATTACTTGGTACCTGGACCGTTACTACCTGGGTCGGCAATGTTTAGCCGGGAAAGTTACGTAGTACCTTACTGGTATTTGCGGAAGGTTCATCCGACGGTTCCGACCGGAAGATATTTCCGGGTAAACATGTCACATGTGCACTCTTTTTACTTCATATCAGAAGATTGGTGTTCTAGACACTAAAACAGAGATCAAAACAGCCCGTGCTTCTAAACCAAACTTGCATGCCCCAGTATTCATGGCGATCACGTGGAGAAGCACTTGTCAATTGCCACAATAACAAAATATAATACAAACAATAAAACAACAAAATAAACAACAACATATTGCAATGACAACTTCTAAGCTGTCCCTAGTGGAGTGGGTTACACACCCGTACCACGATCGGAAGTTCTGGTGGTGTTAACGAATTACTTTAAGATCGCTTATGCAATTAACTCTTAACGAAAGCCGGCAACGGAACACATTGTCAACGCGTACGCACACATTTTTCTTCAGCTGAAAACATTGGAGAAGGGCAAGGGCAAGGGCAAGAGCAAGAATGAATTCAGATCAGTTAGACATTTCCCAAACCAGTCTAGAAATCCACGATAAAAGTGAAGATTCGTACAAGTACACATTCAGATGTTTTCCGCTTCAACTAGCACCAATGAAATCCTCATCATCATTACTGTAACACTGCCGATCTTATTTGTACGGCTACAATATAATACAAAAATCCACACTGAAAGCATGCTACTGAATAATGCAAACGTTTCCGGTCGGATAAAGATAACGAGATGTTCTCAAAATCTGGACAGCATTAACTGTCTGCATTAACAATTTAACTGGGTGATGGATGACCTTTTGCGGATGCCGGGCTTCGTTGTGTTTCGTCAGCGCAATCTGCCGCACAAATCCCAGTTGGCATTCCCCGCATTTCGAAATCCGCAAAAGCTGTCCGCTTTCGCGGATCGACATAGCCCGGATGGGCTCCATTGCCGGGCAGACCGGCCGCTTTTCGTTTCGCCCGCTCCCGCGCATCCTTCTCTTTCCCATCGTCGCTATGCACCCTGTCCAAGTGCTTCGTCAAGTTTCCTTGACTGGTGAACATCTTGCCGCACTGTTCGCACTGTACGCGCACTGTACTACTTGACTTTTTCGGCCTCTTTCCCAGATGCACGTAGAGCCGATGGTAATACCAGCTGGGATACTTTTCAAAATGCTTCCCACAAAACTCACACACACGTGATTTACCGTTGCTTGTCGTGGCACGCCTCACGGCTCTTTTCTTCGTACCATCCGCACTGTTGTGGCAGGTTGCCATATGCTCGTCCAGCTTGTCTTCTCCACAACACGTTGTCTGACACACACTGCACGTCTTCAACCGCGTCGCATCATGGGACGTCTGATAATGGACGTTGATCTGTGGATAACTCGGTAGGATCTTGTCACACGCAGGACAGGGGTACTCCCCGTTGATGCTGTGCTCCACGACATGACAGCCCAGCAGGTTGGACGTCTGGAACAGCTTGGCGCAGTACCAGCATTGGAAGCGCTTATGTTTGATTTTGGTGTGGAAGTCCAGCGTTCCGTGACTGTGGAACCGGTCTCCACACTCCGGACACTGGTACTTCCAGGACGCCGTGATCCGCTGTATCACATCGCGATGCTTCTCCTGGATATGATCGCGCATGCCGGTGACATTCATCCCGCAGATTAAACACGGCCGCCAGTCTCTTTTACCTAAAAAGTGCGCTAACGTGTGCTGCACCAACTCCGCGAAACTCGCCGCGTGGAACGAGCAGGCGGGACAATCCCGACGCGGATCGTCTTGCAGTTCGTTTGACTCACTGTGCCCCAGCGTGTGTAAATCGAGCAGCTCAAAACTGGAAAAATGCCGGTTACATCTGTGGCAGTAGCAGGAAAATCTGTGTTTCCCGCATATGCGCGATGGCGCGTTCCAAAATATCGGGAGAAGCTGCCAGTGCCGCGGATTCGGCCACCGACACCATATCCGCGTGTGGAAGGGGTTCGTTTTTGTGACAATCCCGGATATGGATGCACAGCCGATGGTATTTCTTAAAAGGTTTTATACAGACCACGCACGGGAACGATTTGTGCAACTTATGCGCTCTGACGTGCTTATGGAACGCCGACCACCCACCGGGCTCCCGGTGTCCGCAGTACACGCACTGCCAGCCGTCGTGCAGTTTCCACACATGCGAGCTGAGATTCTAATTCGTTGCGAATTTCTTGCGACACTCGGGACACTGGAACTTCCATGCTTCATTAACCAATTGCAAGGCTTCCGGGTGGTGCTTTTTCATGTGTCGGCGTGGCGCGGTACGGACGGTGACGCCGCACAGCAGACATGCCTGTCGCGTTTTCGGCGGCAATACGTGCTGCGAGGTGTGCTTGACCAGTTCGGCAAAGCTCGTCGCGACGAACGGACATTCGGAGCAGTTCCGCTGGGGCTGATGGTCAGGAAGAGGATTATGCAGGAAGCTGTGCACATCCAGGAGGGTCTTATTCGGAAACACAGTTCGGCATTTGCCGCAGCGATAACTGAACAAACCCGTTTGACGCATAAACTCCAGAGCGGCCGCTTGACGGGCTTCATCAGGCACGGCTACTGCTTCGCGATGAACCTGCAAATATTCCTAAAACTAGGAACAGAAAATCAGTGATCTTATGTGCTTACAATATTGAAATGAGAGCTCATCGACGCCCGATTCTTGAACTTCTTGTGACAGATGAAACACGCATCACCCACAGCTTGAATGTCCTCTTCGGTGTGCATCGCGTCCAGATGGTCGGGCAGATTCTCCACTCGTTCGCCGCACACTAAACACACTCCGCTTTTGCGCGACGCGAGATGGGCCTTGGATTTCAGACCGTTCAATTTCTCCATCAGTGCATCGGGCGTACTAACGGGAACATTTTGTAACACAGCTTCGGTCGCCTGGCTCGCTCCGCAGCTGTCATCCGGCGGAATCGTCAGTTCGGGATCCGACGTCTGTAAATCTGCAAGAAAGAATAATTCAATCACCAAACGAACCAAATCCAAAAGTGGGACTTTAAAACATTCTCGCAACTTGAATATCCACGTAATTGAAAATGTGAATGCTAACAAATTTCCGTAAACTTACGTACAATTTGCAAAGCACGGCGCTTATTGGTTTCTAAACAAACTGGTTCGATAGTGCACGATTGTTCAAATTATTTGGATACGGTAAGCAACAAGCAACATCGTGAGGCCAAAAGACAATGTACTTATTTCTGCAGTCCGAAATATTCTCCTACACTGAACGCCTAGTACAAAAAAAGGAGATATGCACAATGGAAAAACTTGTGGTTTTACCAATGCCCTCGTTGACCTCCAAGTCGAAATCCACTCCAAATACATCCATTTCCGGATGAACCGAAACGTCCTACACCTCGACCGAGGCTGATCCATACACAACGTCTGCCACTACGTCAGGCAAATTCATAACGGGTGCTTCGTCAGGCGGCAAAAAATTGGGCATAACCATGGATTCGTCGGCTAGCTTTTTGCGCTTTCTCATTGTCGCATCTGTGTTGAACAAATTGCCTTTACATACAAAGTCGTATGGATGGACCGTTCTACTCAGAACACACGCGTCACAGGTAGCTACCGATACCTACCTATCTCCTAAAAATCTACAATATGGGGGAAACTTAAGGTGTCTCTAAATCATAGATTCCTTCCATAAAATAAAAGAGATACATAAACAATATATAATTCTAGATCACTATAATTTCAGGCATTAACCTTTAGTAGTAAGTGTGTCACTGTACTTGAATGAGATAAAAACCGTGACACCAAGGTGCTCGCGGGACATTTCGTCGTGGGACATTTTGCCACATGTTTTCCGTCGCAGCGGCTAATCTGTTTTGGGACAACTCGTTCTTGCAGCCGTTTCATATATGTCATTTGCTCGCGCGACTTTTGGGGAGTCGAAAAATTACCAACTGCTTTTTGGCAACGAACAGTCATATGACTATTTGCCATAAAAACGAGTTGTCCTTAGACGAAATGTCTGTAAAACCAAATGTCCCGCGCCGAACTGTCGCGTAGCCATTAAAAACAAAACGAAAATTCGTAACAAAACCCTTCGTGAATGCTATCATGGACAGGCATATTTTTTCTGCTGTATTTCAAGCTACAGCAGAAAATCCATTAAAACAGACATTTTCATTCTGCGCCGCCATCTTAGGCGGTCACAGTATACATCATGAACAGTCGAACTGCGTACCTGAGATCGTGGATACTTTGACTGGGATGGTTTTCCTTTTCTGTGAGGCACACACCGTGCGGAATCGATATAGACCACGGTCCACTATCAGTCTGTCTCAACCGTCGTTTCCTACCCTTCCGCACCGCATCCGGTGGCGGTTGGTCAATTAAATTCGTCCCCGTGTTCGGCACTACACTGTGCTGAAGGGCTGGTCCCACAAGTATAATAAAAAAATGGGCGAAGAATCCGGCTTATCATGTCCACCAACATGGTCAGCTGGCGCTAGGTTACCGCCGGTCGGTTGAGCCTTCGGGGAAGCCGGACAACCGATAGCCTGCGAATAAATCAGCGAGTAGGCCACCTTCAGTTCATCGCCCGGCTGGATGGCCTTCATCGTAATGAATATCACGTGTGTCTGCGTAGGGGAAACAGCATCCGCGCCTGACACCAAGGGAGACGCTTCATGCATCTACAAAGCATATTCCCTTGAATTTCTTTTTACTGTTCGCTTATGCTTTCGAAGAGAAGAAAAAATTTCAATTAACAGTACATAGAATGCTCTCATAAACACGAACATCAGTGAAAACATTCTACTGAATATTTTTATTTTTGTTTTCTAAACCTAGTTTTAATCAGATCCATTAATTCATTACATTATTAACGTAACGTAATTGGTAAATTAATTAATCGTAAGTGAGAAATTAAGAATTTAAATTAACGAGTAATAATCATAAATCAAAATTGTTAAAACATTTGCTCAACGTAATGGTACAAAATTACCACCAGCTGTTTCTGATGACTACTATGTGCTAATAACTTTTGTATGAGTACTTCGAAGTATTGATTTTGTTCTTCTACTAAACAAACCGGTTGTAATTAGCAGTTATTTACTGTACTTCGTATGCAGCTAAATTTTGCTCCTCCGGAGATTCTGCAAATCTAACAAATTTCATCCAGTTGGTGGTCTCATCGGATTCCAGCTGGAAATAATGCAGTTCTTTCTTCGTTGCATTTCCGCAAGCGAAAGCAACTTCCGCTGGTTTTGTTGTGCTGAGTACGCTGATTAATGGCCCGAAAACTGTCAGAGGCGGGATAGCTTCTTTAGCGAAAACGGCTTTGTCTGAAAAAAAAATAATTTTTTAATCTCGCCTGCCGGAAGTTTTCAGCTTTTAAATATATAAAGCAATGAAGACATTTGTACTACAAAAGCGAAGAATGTCGATGTAAGCAGAAGCAGTCATTTGCATTTTCCACACAAACAAAATCATCCTTAATTTTAACACCCATAAAAATTTTTATTGTGCGATTTCGATTTTTGAAATACATATCTGCATGCATCACATTGGCGAAAAGTTTCTAAAATTCACGTTATTACTTAAAAATGTTCTACCAAAATGTTAATAACTGGTGCAGAAGATTGAGTTTGTCTGCCGTTATCCAGTTATTCTCACCAGCCTGGCCATGATGAGGTACATCCAAATACAAAATCTGCGGAAGACTGGCCACGGAATATGGGAACACAGGGGCATCTCGCACGCGTTTGGCATGCGAAAAACAGGGAAGAACTGTCCATTTCTGACACTGCTCGCAAACTGCAAAGCGAATAAACTAAATATCCGATCGTTACAAACAGCTGACTGTACATTATAAAAAACTGCAGAAAGTAATCAAGCAGTTAACAGTAGAAGCGTACACAATTAATATGTATAAATACCATTAGGTGCAAAAACTTACAAATTTGCTTCAAGGGTTCACAGCGCTGCGAAGCAGGCATTGCTGAGAACTCATAGATTCCCGCCCGACTTCTTCTTCTTCCGACGTCAATTTGTACAAGTCAATAATTTGTAATACATTATTATTATCAATCTTTGTTTAGAGACTATAGACTTAAACAAATGTCAAAATTTTAAAAATGCGAAGGTTTGTGACCGTTTGCGGTTTGTCATATGAGCACAGCACCGAGACATTGCACTTGTAGCAGCCGTCCTGGGCGGCTTAACTTCTGTTTCTTACTTCCGGTTCCGCTCATGGGCAAGATACTGTAACTGTTCACCGCGCCGTAACGGTTTCCAATGAAATCCGGTTATTTTCAGTATGCCCATAATACCATTGCGTTCCTCAGATATTCATGGCGCGTCCATGATGCTCAGAAAATTGGTTTATGGGTAGGTTGCTCCTGCACTGTGTTTGCACGATAATCTGTAGTTTCGTTTATTGCTTATTAATTCTGAGCAGACCAAACCCCCATGATCACAAGTCTGCCACAATATATCAACATGTAAAAAAGTAAAGCAACAAATATTTGAACACGATTTTCAGTCGGAACAAGGACATCCATGGCTCATAATTTTATCAAACCAGCTTTTTAGGCCAACGATAAAAATAGCACATGCATGACGGCAGTGCACAATCTCCATAGGACACTGTACATTAAATAATGCGGTTATTTCTTGCCTAACCAATGCACGGGAGATTAAGCTGAACTATGCACTCAAAAATCCGACAGAATTAACTGCAGCTCAGGTGCTGAAGCGTCTCCGGATGCCGGGACTCGTTGTGTTTCGTCAGCGCAAACTGCCGCATAAAGGCCACCTGGCATTCCTCGCACTTATACTTGAAATCCGCCAAATCCATGGAAATCCGTGGTGGCGGCGTGGGCTTGCTGGGTACACCGGCCGCTTTCCGTTCCGCAAGCTTCCGGGCGTACGTCTCCTTGGCTTGCCCCATATGCACCCACCGCACATGACGACACAAACGGTCCTTATTGTCAAAACTCTTGCCACACTGGTCGCACGGCAAACACACGCTGGGTGGCTTTTTCTCCTCCTTCCCCAGATGCGCGATAAGCCGGTGACTGTATAGCACTTGATACGTTTTGAAGTGCTCTCCACAAAATTCACAGACACGTGGTGTGGCGTTGCTTGCCGCTGTATTTGTATCCCTTTCGCCGGTTTTACTGTGGCACGACTCCATATGCTCATCCAACTTGTCCTGTCCAAAACAGGTGGTCTGACACACACTGCACGTCTTGAGCCGCGTCGCATCGTGGCACGCCTGATAATGCACGTTGAGTAGTGTATACGTGGGCAGGATCTTCTCGCACACTGGACACGGATATTCCCCGTTCACACTGTGCTCCACGACATGGAAGCTAAGGACCGAAGGAGCAGAAAACATCCTGGCGCAGTACCGGCACTGCAAGCCCGTATGTTTGACCTTGGTGTGGAACGTTAGCGGCCCGCGCCTCGGGAACCGCTCTCCACACTCCGGACACTGATACTGCCAGGTCTCCGTAATTCGCTGCAACACATCGGGGTGCTTTTCGGAGATGTGACCGCGCATGCCGACGACATTCTGCCCACAGATCAGACAGGGCCGCGAGTCTCTCTTTCCGAGACGGTGCTCTGATGTATGATGCACCAATTCCGCAAAACTCGCCCCGTGGAACGGGCAGACGGGACAATTCCGACGCGGATCGTCTTGCGGTTCGTTCGGCTCACTGTGCCCCAGTGTGTGCAGATCGAGGAGTTCGAAGCTGGCGAAATGCCGATCACATTTATCGCAGTAGCAGGAGAACTTTTGCGTCGTACGCATGTGCTCGATGGCGCGTTCGACTATCGCGGGATTAGCAGCCGAAGCCGCGGAATCGGATACCGCCACCACATCCGAATGTTGGAGGGGTTCGGTTTCGTGACAATCCCGGATATGGATGCACAGGCGATGATACTCCGGAAACGATTCCTTACAAACCAGGCACGGAAATGACTGGTCCATCATGTGCGCTGAGGCGTGCTCGTGGAAATCCGACCACCCCCGGAGCTCATGATATCCGCAGTAGACACACTGCCAGCCTTTGTGAGCCCTCCACACATGGGCGCTGAGATCGGAATTGTCGGCGAACTTTTCACGGCACTCCGGGCACTGGTAGTGCCATGCTTCCATGATCGTCTTCATGGCTTCCGGATGCTTTTGAAACATGTGTTTGCGTGTTGTGGTGCGGGTTGTGACACCGCACAGCAGGCACCAATGCCGTGTTGTCATGCGCGAGAAAGCATGCTGCCCAATGTGCTCCACGAGATCGACAACTCCCGTGGCTATATACGGGCATTCTGAGCAGTGGCGTTGTTGCTGATCCATCAGATGGTCTGGACTATGCTTAAAGCCATGCAGATCCAGAAGTTTTCGATTTGGAAACACGGCCCGGCATTCGGAGCAGCGGTAGTTTAAATATCCCGTTCGGCACATAAATTCCAGAGCCGTTGCTTGGCTGGCTGCGTCGGGCACGGCCGCCTTTGCGCGATGAACCTGTTAACAGTTTCCATCATAAATACTGGAATAACAAGAAATGAAGAATATTTCATGTGCTCACCTTCTTGAAATGATTCTCCAACGCCAAGCGATTCTTGAACTTCTTGTGACAGATGAAACACGCATCATCCACAGCTTGGATGTTTTCATCGGTATGCATCTTGTCCAGATGGCCGGGCAGATCCGCCACTCGTGCCCCGCAGACCAAACACATTCCGGTTTTGCGCAGTCCGAGATGGGTTCTCGACTTCAGACTGTTCATTTTCTCTATCAATGCATCTAATGCTTCGACGGGACTATTTTGTAACGCAATTTCCATCGCCTGGCTGGATCCGCCACTGTCTTCCGAGAAAACTGGCACCTCCAACTCCGGCATTTCCTCCTCTGAAAAGTGGAATATTCAAATTCCTATTCAAATCTGTTGATCTGTCTTAAGAAAATGTGCCGGTACATAGTGTGAAAATGGGATACATACACTAAAACTTTCGCTTTCGCGCACTCTCTGAATCACGTTTTCGTAATACTTGTCATTCTAAACTAAGTGATTTGTACGCATTGTTCTGAAAACTTTTTGCGCGCGCAAACAACCGGTTGCCGAGATATGGCGATCTAAAATGGGCGAAAAGTTTAAATGCATTGCTGTGCACCGAAAGTCTGGTTGTTGCCCGATCTTCTTGAAACTTTGCTGTAAAAGACGCATGGCCATTAAGTCGAAAGTGAACCATGAACCAATATCAGGCTCATAGCGTTTTCTTCCGATTTTGAAATAGATTTCAAAAATTTTAAAATTTACCTATGTTTTCGTTCCCAGCGGCATGGAATTCCCCAACATCGGCAGCGGCGAGTACTGCGACAAACTGCGGTTCAACTAGGTCATCCGACGTTGCGAGAGCGCTTACACCGCACGCGTTAGCACATCCTAAATCCTCCAGCAAATTTCCGGTGACTTCATCAGGCGGCAAGAAATTGGGCATGTCCATAGATTCCTCCGATAGCTTTCTGCGTTTCCCCGTCATCGCGTCTACGGTGAATAAAGTGCACTCACATCCGATGAATCATTACAATGTTCATAATACTACACTCGTCAGACACCCTGCGTACCTGAGATTATGGAAATCTGGCTGGTATGGTTTTCCTTATCTGTGAGGGACACAACGTTTTCATTCGATGGGGACCGCGGTCTACTGTGATTCTGTGGCAAATGTCGTTTCTTAACGTTCCGGACCGGATCCTGATGCAGTGTGTTAACTGTGTCATCTGCCGCGCTCTGTGCTACACTTGGTAGGAGGGGTGGTCCCGTGAGAAGCAGGAAAACGGATGAAGAATCTGGATGATCCTGTCCATCAGAGTGACTAGCTGGCGTTGTTTTTTTACCGGTCTGTTGAGAAACTTGAGACTTCGGGGAAACGGGACAGCCGATCGCTTGGGAATAAATCAGGGAATAGGCCACCTTCAGTTCTTCCCCAGGCCGAATCATTCTCGTCGTAACGAATATCACGTGTTTTTGCGTAGGGAAAACAGCATCCGGACCCGACAGCAGCGGAGACCTTTCTTGTACCTACAAAATCAATTCTGTGGAATTTCTCTCATTTGTTAACTATTACCGTGGGCTTCCAAAGAGCTGACAACAGTTTCAATTAACATCTGAAGTATTTTGTAGGATGATTTTGTATACAAGTACACTATAACGAACAGTAAACATCAAGCATTTGAGGCGCAAAAATCAGCAAGTTAAAATTATCAGTTGAAGCCAGAAAAAGCTTTTTTAAAGTTATGTTGCTAAATTAATATATCGAAGTTTGAATTTCCCATCTGCGTTCGAAAATCCCTCCTGATGACTGCGGACAATTTCGACTAAATTATTTGAGTAATTACCGTACTTCGTATGCAGCTAAATTTTGTTCCTTCGCAGTCTGTGCAAATCTGACAAATTTCATCCAGTTGGTCGTCTGATCCGATTCCAGCTGGAAATAATGCAGTTCTTTCATTGTCGCACTCCCGCAGGCGAATGCAACGTTCGCTGGTCTCGTTGTAGTGAATTTACTGATTAATGGTCCAAAAACTGTCAGAGGCGGAATCGCTTCTTTGGCGAAAACGGCTTTACCTGAAAAAAAAATTACTACTTAGACAATGGCATTATCTCTTTTAGCTGGATTCAAATATATCGTGCAGCAAGCAACTACTCTACTCTAGTGGTTGTTTGTACTCGTAGAATCAAATCTGCAAAAAATAAGTAATGTATCATGCACTCGAAGTATTTGACAATTTTAAATTAAACTTCATTGTACTTTTTTGGTTACTAGTGAACTTTTCTTACCAGCCCGGCCATGCTGAGGTACGTCCAAATACAAAATCGGCGGAAGACTGGCCACGGAATACGGGAACACAGGGGCATCTCGGACGCGTTTGGCGTGCGAAGAACAGGGAAGACTCGTCCATTTCTGACACTGCTTGCAAACTGAAAAACGCAGCGAAGTAAAATATCCCACATCGGCTGATCGTTATTTGTAAATGCAGAAATAACCAAGCCTTTAACAAACGCAAAAAGTAATACTGAAAATAAGTTCCAAAGAGACTTAGAAATCGCAGAAAAAAGTAAAAAGCTCAGCTTTACCAAGAGCCGTGTGACAAGAGGCTTCTGTAGACAGAGAAAGGCCTGTCAGTGCATGCAGACTGATGCAATAAGCTGTAAGCACAGACTGTACAGTAAAGCACTTCCAGCAAACAAAATCTTACAAATCTGCTCCAGGGGTTCGCAGCGCTGCGGAGCAGGCATGGCTGGGAAGTGAAGAATTATTTTTTTCGATCCAACATCCAAGGTACAGTAATGTTGTCAGCGTACAATCCAGGGTACTCGAAGTTGTCCGTCACGAAGTTTACTGTTACTACTGTCAGGTATGTCCGACACTCCGAGCTACGTATATTTCAAAGTCTCCAACTCAATATTCTTCGTACTCCCACTGGAAAAAAGTAACTGTTTAAAAACGAAAATCAATAATAAAATTAAGTGCCTAATTATTTATGTGTAATACTCGTAACACTGTTAAGTTGTTAACACACAGTTTATTTTATTAATAAGCACTGTGATCCACTGTGACAGTATTCGCATTGGCCTTGAAGCAGCCGTCCTGGGCGGCTGCTTAATCGTTTCCTTTCTTTACTTCCGGTCATGGGCAAGACAGGTAACCATCCGTCCATAAGACCGCAACTGTAATTCATAAATATAAAAGAATTCCCGTTTTGTGTTTTCCTATGCGCGTGAAGCGCATTCCGCTAATAACACGTACCATTACTTATACCACGTCAAATACGGCTTCGGTAGGCCAGGCTCCTTCAAACTCAGGACTGAGACCTCCTTTTGCGACCGGAAGTGGCCACGGGCCCACGATCGATGTTCGTGTGTCGCGTTCTTGGTGCCCATGTTGCCCGTTAAAGTTTAGAAATTTTAAAAACATTAGTAGAAAAAGAGTTGCGACTTGTATGTTGTGAGCACAAAATCTAGGCTGACTAGGCATATATTGCATACAAACAACTAACGCTGGAATCGCCCGGAAACAGGCCTGTGTGTACGGCTCATAACGTATTTCGACGAGTTGGGGCATGACAGGCGAGTGTAGTAGCTGCCAGCCATCTCGCTTGCTTGCAGCAGTCACTTTTTCCTTTCTTTTCATAGCACTAGGAGTGACTTTCACATCTGCCGGATTACAAATACAACTGGAATGCTCACCAGTTGGATAAGCATTATCAAATGTACAGTCGGTACAACAATTCAAAACATGAGCCGCAACCAGTCTACAGAAAAACACAGCCATTTCCGGTTACATACAGGTACCACTGTACCAAGATCTAGCGGAACTATGCAGAAAAACAGAAAACCCTGACAAATTAACTGCTGCTCAGGTGTTGTGAAGGGTCTTCTCCCGATGCCGGGATTCGTTGTGTTTTGTCAGCGAAATCTGCCGCACAAAACCCAGCTGACATTCCTCGCATTTATACTTGAAATCCGCGAAGGCTGTCCGCTTCCGCGGATCGACATAGTTCGGGTAGGGATTTTCGGGAAGACCGGCCGCTCTTCTTTCCGCACGGACCCTGTCATACTTCTTCCTGGCGTCGCCGGTATGCACCCACCGTATGTGCATCGCCAAGCCTTGTTTATCGACAAACATCTTGTCGCATTGATTGCAGTGCACGCGCTCTTTCGGCTTTCCCAAATGCACGTAAAGCCGATGGTAATACCAGCTTCCATACTTTTCGAACTGCTTCCCACAAAACTCACACGTACGTGATTTACAGCTGCTTGTCGGCGCTCGCCTCACGGACCTTTTCTTCGTGCCGTCCGTGTGGCACGTCGCCATATGCTCGTCCAGCTTGTCTTGCCCCACACACGTTGTCTGACAAACAATGCACGTCTTCCGCCGCGTCGTATCGTGGCACGTCTGATAATGCACGTTGACTAATGTATAACTGGGCAAGATCTTATCACACATCGAACAGGGATATTCGCCGTTGACGCAGTGCTCCACAACATGGGTGCCAAGCAGATACGAACTCTGAAACACTTTGGCGCAGCACCAACACTGGAACCCTTTATGCTTGACCTTGGTGTGAAAATCTGGCTTCCCGCGACGACTGAACCGCTCTCCACACTCCGGACACTGATGCTTCCAGGTCCCCGTGATTCGCTGCATCACATCGGGGTGTTTTTCGGAGATATGACCGCGCATGCCGACGACATTCTGCCCACAGATCAGACAGGGCCGCGAGTCTCTCTTCCCTAGACGGTGCTCTGACGTGTGCTGCACCAACTCCGCGAAACTCGCTCCGTGGAACGAGCAGACGGGACAACCACGTCGCGGATCGTCTTGCAGTTCGTTCGGCTCACTGTGCCCCAGTGTGTGCAGATCGAGCAGCTCAAAGCTCGCGAAGAACTGACTGCATTTAACGCAGTAGCAGGAGAATTTTTGCGTCTCCCGCATATGTTCGACGGCGCGTTCCACCATCGCCGGAGATACTGCCAAAGCGGAATCGGCCACTGCCGCCATATCCGCGTGTGTTAGGGACTCGGTTTGGTGACAGTCTCGGACATGAATGCACAGCTGGTCATATTTTTCAAAGAATTTATCACAAACCAGGCAAGGAAACAAAATTGTCCATCTGATGCGTTGTGATGTGTTCGTCGAAAGCCAACCACCCCCGGGGTCCACGGTATCCGCAGTACACACACTGCCAACCTTTGTGAGCCGCCCACACGTGCGAGTTCAGATCGAAATTCTCGGCGAATTTCTCCCGGCATTCCGGACACTGGAACGCCCATGCTTCCGTGATCAGCTTCATCGCTTCAGGATGGTTTCTGTACATATATATGCGTGCCCCGGTCCGTGCAGCGACACCGCAGAGTAAGCACGGATAATGTTTGAGTTTTGCCGGCAGAGCATGCTGCGAAGTGTGATCGACGAGAGCGGCGAAACTAGTCGCCAGAAACGGGCATTCGGAGCAGCGGCGCTGCTGCTGATTAGTGTGGTCTGAATTATGCTCAAAGCTGTGCACATCCAGAAGCTTCTTACTGGGAAACACGACTCGGCATTCGGAGCAGCGGTAATTTAAAAATCCCGTTCGGCACATAAATTCCAGAGCGGCCGCTTGACTGGCTGCATCGGGCACGATCGCCGCTGCGCGGTGAACCTGCAAGGGTCCTTCGATCTGAACACTAAACAAGGAAAAATGCGACGCACCAGTGTGCTTACAAGCTTGAAATGGTGGCTCACTGTCGAGCGGTTTTTGAACTTCCGGTAACAGATGAAACATGCATCATCCACAGCTTGAATGTCTTCATCGGTGTGCTTCGTATCCAGATGGTCAGGCAGATTCTCCACTCGTTCGCCGCAGACCAAACACACTCCGGTTTTGTGCAATCCAAGATGGGCTTTGGATTTTAAACTGTCCATTCTCTCCATCAATGTGTCGGACATATTAACGGGACATTGTTGTAATGCAGCTTCGGTGTCCTGGCTCGCTCCATAGTTGTCACTTAGCGCTTTCAGTTCGCACTTTTCTTCCTCTGTAAACAGGAACAATTAAATAATCAACCAAGTGATCGCAAAACCCTGAATTGTAAAATGAGACTTCTGAACATTCTCGCGGCACGAATATCCGCATAATTTCAATGTTTCAATGCTTGGCTAAAAACGCGGGCGTCTATTAGAACTGGCCGGATGCTAAGAATCGGAAGTCTCAGAAACAAATGAATTTACTGTATGTATTCCCACAATCCAGAAAATCTCAACAGAATCTTCCTATAATTTTGGACTATAAATACCGAGTGATTCGAAAGTCGAAACGTAAAAATGTTTGATTGTACTGTACCTATTCCATGGTTGCTCTCATAACCACACTCCAAGCTAACTTCCGGTCCAAATGCAACGTCCGAAAGTTCGTCCGACAGTCCACAAATAACACCTGGCGCATCCTCTGGCAAATTCTCAACGGGATCATCATCAGGCGGCAAGAAATTGGGCATATCCATGGATTCGTCAGATCGCTTTATGCGCTTTTGCGCACTGACATCTGTGGTATATCAACAACTTGCCGTCACATAACAAATCCGATGAAATGCTAACCGTTCTGTTCAGAACCTCATACACAGCGCTACCTAAATCATATAAATCTACATATGGAGAAACACGATGTGTCCTTACGGCGAAGCCTTTATTTCTAAAAGGGCATCGTGGGGGAGCAGTATAAAAATTGATACTGTATACTGTATAGGACAAGAAACAACACTTCCATAACCGCAGAAAATTGTTTCCAACCCGTACCTGAGTTCATGAACGCCGGACCGGTATGGTTCTCTTTATCTGTGACGAGAACACCGTTCTCCACAGATGCAGACCGCGGTCTATAGTCACCATGTCTTCGACGTCGTTTCTTAACGTTCCGCACCGAATCCGGATGCGGTTCGTCACTTGCGCCCGTCGCAGTGCACTGCACTAAACTGGGCTGAAGGTGTGGTCCCACGAGTAGGAAGAAAATGGACGAAGAATCTGGACTATCACTGAGAGCGATATGATTATCATCCACTATCTCCCAGTCGGTCTGTGGAGCATTTTGCCAAACGGGACAACCGATCGCTCGGGAATAAGTCAGGGAGTAGGCCACCTTCAGTTCCGCGCCCGGCGGAATTTGTTTCGTCGTAACGAATATCACGTGCGTTTGCGTAGGGGAGACCGCATTCGGAGCTGACAGCGGTAAAGACGCTTCTGGCACCTACAAAGTCACTGCTGTGGAGTTTCTTTCATTTGTTTTCAAATAGCAGACCAAAATTTGCCATGACTATGTGAAGCCAAAAGATTTGGCAAATAAATTCATTCTACAGAACACGAACTGAATATCTTCAAAACAACACTGGACATATATATATAATTCTTTATATATTTCTTTGTATATTTAAACAGCTTCAGTATATTTTGTTAACTTAGCTGGGAAGTCGATGAAATAGAGAATCATCTCAATTAAGACGTAATATTTGATTTCTGACAAACGCAAAAATGTTAAGCGTAAAGTATTCCGCAAAAAAATAGCAAAGTAAACTCTTCAGTCAAAATTTAGAGAAAACTGTCGTTACAACATGAACTGTAAAAATAACATGTAGAAGTTCAAATTCACACCGGAAAAACTGTCTGTTACTATAAAATTAATTTCGTGATTGCCGAAAATTTCCAGAAGCCAAAATGCCGAACACTGAACTGAATATTTGCTGTACTCTTACTTCGTATGCAGCTAAATTCTGCTTTGCCGGAGATTCTGCAAATCGGACGAATTTCATCCAGTTGGACGTCTGATCCGACTCCAGCTGGAAATAACGCAGTCCCTGTTGGATGCATTTCCGCAGGCAAATGCAGCATTCACCGGTTCCTTTGCACTTAGCACGCCGATTAATGGCCCGAAAACTGTCAGGGGCGGAATGGTTTCTCTGGCGTAAACGGCTTTATCTGCAAAAAATACTTTAAAGTTTTGCACGCAACAAATTCTAGTTTACACTGAAATTTCTGTGCAGTATCGAATTTCCCCGTATGTATCCAAATACAACTGCAATTAGTTTTATTCTGCACGGTCATTCGCCAACGTTGGAATATAAATAATCACTGGAATCTCATCCGTTTTGGGAGGTCATGTATGTACTCGCTCTTTGTACGGTATTTTCGAACCGTATACAAATAAATGTAGTATGCCATAAAAGTTTTATACTAACGTTATTCTATTACTATCTTGCTTTTATGATATTAGACTAACGAATAGAAACCAAATTCTAAAGTTTTAAAAGCCAGATTTTTTTAATTTTAGGTACTTGCATTCGCAAAAAAAACCCTATGGTTAGAGCCTTAGAGGTTACACTACTTCGATTTAAAAACAAATATTAATAACTATCAATACAGACAATATTAGTAATATATTAATAATCTGCCTGTCGCTGATATATATTAATAATCTGCCTAATAACCATTCTCACCAGCCTGGCCATGCTGAGGTACATCGAAATACAAAATCTGCGGGAGACTGGCCACGGAATACGGGAACACAGGTGCGTCTCGAACGCGTCTGGCATGGGGAAAACAGGGAAGATCTGTCCATTTCTGACACTGCTTGCAAACTGAAAAACGCAGCGAAGTAAAACATCTTATATCTTATGCTTGCAAATAATAAATGTATTATGATAGAAAACAACTACATAATACAACTCCAAGTAATTCACAACTGCGAAAAATTGCTTTTTAGTACGTAATAAATTACCAAATTGCAAAAATAATCAAGCAATTTTAAATTTGCAATATATCTCAGAAAAAAACTTGGGAATCGAAAATATCTAGCTACACTGCAACAGTGAGGTTTCAGTTAAAACTTAAAAGCAGCTGATAATTATATACAAAACCTTACAAATTTGCTCCAAGGGTTCGCAGCGCTGCGAAGAATGCATTGATGAGAATTCCAGACAGTCGATAACGTCAGACAATGTGAATTTTATCGAGTCAAGACAGGTTACAATGCAAATAAAACAACTTAACGAATTCCGAACCGTTGTCCCAAGCTTCGGAACAATTTATCAGATTCAAAATCTCTAACGTAGATATATGCCGGGTCGCCATAAGGAGTTCTTTTAAAGTCTTCTCTAGACAACTTCGTCTAGAGTAACCCTTTTGTGTTTTTCGATTTCTTCTTGGGAATTTTTGTGGATAAATAGTGAGCCCTGCCATTTCTGGTTCGAACCAGATTGGCAGGGACAAGTTGTTCATAGGAACTACAGATACACTCTCCAGTGTACGAACTGCCTTCGGTTCTCGCAGCATCTTTTCGTGACTTTTATTCCTCTCATTATTCCTTACTTACCTTCATACTGCTCGAGTCATACGTCGGAACCCATTCTTGCCTATCTAATGGAGTCGTCAGGACGCTGGAGCCTGTGCTGCGGGAGCGACTGCATGCGCTGTGAGGGGACATTCTGGGGCGTCTGAATGTTGTGCTTCGAGTGATCTGGGGGCTTGCCCTTATAACGCTTCGCGTTTGGCCCTTTTAACCAGTGATCTCGTCAGCGCGGCAATCGGTAAACCCCTAAATCCTGCTTTTATGGTAAATGCGCCCGAAGAACGTGGATCTGTGCTGTGGAGCCTTGTTGACTTCTGGAACTCTCACTGCGCGTTGGATCGTTTCATTTCATTGTTCATGTCGTTGGGGTATCGTGGAACGAACGTGGATCTCCCAGGCTCTGGATACGGATGGAGGAAGCGCGGATGTTTGCGGTCGGATTTTTCTGTTGTTACGCCCGAAGCAATCTGGGGGCTTGCCCTTACAACGCTCTGCGTTTGGCCCTTAACCAGCGAGCTCGTTGGTGTGGCACCTGTGGATTCTGGCTGCTTGTTTGTAGTTTTTTCTGTCGGTCTCTGTATTTGCTAGGTTCTCGAATGTCGTAAAATCATCTTAATCGTCAGTTGTTTTCGCTTATGTTGGTTTGAACATTTTCATGGTGTCTGAAATCTCTAAACACTGAAACAGATCCAAAAACACAGGCGATCCGATAGCTACGGCCTACGCAGTACGTAGTCGTGCGGTGTCATCCGAAAATACTTAATTACGAATCCAGCTGCTGCTAAAAAGCACAAGAATAGTAAATTCTACGAGGGAAGTATGAAGAACACCAAAAGTCTGAAACTAAGACGAATAATTATTGACTCCATAATATGATAATAATAACTTATTGAAAAACAAATCACAAAATTAATGTAAAACTATAACACACACTCAAATAGCTCCAAACTGCCATCCGGAGAAGGATACAAAATTGGCTTTGAACCAAGACAGCCGCCCTGAGGCGTCGACCGAGAGGCTACGAGTACAGTACACTACCACGGTGTAAAGGGTAGAACCTGGTGCTGAAAGTACTCGTAGCTGAAGTTAAGCTGTACAAAAATTCAGTACTTTTCGGCATGTTTTCGTCAAAGGCATCAAGTTGTAATTAAGAGCGCAAACGTGTGGCACGGCCTACAGCCTCAACCGCTTGGAGTATTTCAAAACGGATTGCACATTCTCTTATTAGTTTTTCATGCTCTCCATGCTCGTTATCGATTTGATATGAAATTATGGTTTTTGCATAAGTCGAATTATGAATATGAGTGAGCCTTATATAAGTCATAGCAGCAGTCGGAGTGAGTGCGATTGTAGGGCGCAGACAGACTGTCGTTACCGCGCTGCCTGCCTGGTCTCTATGTATACATGCCCGATTCAAACCACATTTCTACTACTTTACTCGAGTCAGATGTTTTTGGAATTTGGATAAACAAATTCCGAATTCAGAATCAGCGTAAAATTTTACCATGGCTTTCTGTCTGTAAAAAGTTTGTAGCCTTTAAGGATCGTCCGTAAATCACTGCCACACGTTTACAACTTGATGGCCGTTTTGCCCATTGTATTTCTTTTGTCTTTCGAGAAATGTTAACGAGGTGTGACGGCAAAAAAAGTACTGAATTTTTCGCCAGTTACTTTCAGCACCAGGTTCTACCCTTTACACCGTGACAGTACCATTGCGGAGGTTGATTATAATGATTATGCGTTCATACGGTATACCCACGATCAATAATTTGCTGTGTCCCGGCAATGATGATAAAAAAATTTCGGACACGGACACAGATGGCCGACACGGATGCTGTTGCGTGTGTGCCATGCTGCTGTGCCACAAAGCGTGCTGCGATTGCTTGAGCAGGTCGGCAAAACTCCTCGCCGCAAACGGGCATTCTGAGCATTTGCGTTGATGTTGATTCCGGTGGTCCGGATTATGCTCAAAGCTATGCTTATTCAGGAGCGTTTCGTTCGGAAACACGCCTGGACATATGGAACAACGGTAGTTGAGAAATCCGGTCTGGCACATAAAATCCATAGCGGCCGCTTGACTGGCTTTATCGGGCACGACAGACGTTTCGTTATGAACCTGCAAAACCGGTTCATAGCATACCGGAAACTATAAAAAATGCAGGTGTCCGTGTACCTACTATTCTGAGGTGCTGAAGCAACAGCGACCGACTTTCAAACTTCCTTTGGCAGAAGAAGCATACATCATCCAGAGCTTGAATATCCTCATCGGTGTGCATCGTCTCCAGATGGTCGGCCATATTCCGCGCTCGTTTCCCGCACACCAGACAAACTCCACTTGTCCGCAACCGAAGGTGGGCTTTCGATTTTTAAACGGTTCATTCTCTCCATCACTGTATCTGCCGCGTTGACTGGCCGTTTATCATCGACAGGTTCAATCGCTGGCGTCGATCGGCAACTTTCGATCGGTAAAACCGGCATTTCTCCGCCTGAAACACCAGATAACCGAATTAACTGATTTATTTTTGATTAACTGATTTATTTATTTTTTACGAGCTTATTCTTTAATACCGATTTATACTGCGACATAACAGTCAATCATTCCACTACAGCCATTACTGCACAATCAAGAATTAAAGAAACAACCAAAATCACAATTGTCAACAACTTTATTCTTTCCCGGCAAAGTTCCTAAAACCGCGGCCGCATTGCCTTTAATAATTGCAAGGCTAATGCGCTGCTTTAAAAACGCCGTGGATCTGCCTTCTCCGGATCTCTCCTTGATTTTCCGACCAAAAAAGCTGACCATTTCTCTGGCTCCTTCGCCGAGCACTCCGAGCGTTTCTACAGCAAAGGGTAAAACCAGAACTGATCGCCCAGATCTCGATAATTGTATCGTTTCCGGCATTCTGCTTGGTGTGCCGCTGCGCCCGCTGCCTTTGCAGACCGTTTAAGGTACGACTGTGCTAACGTGCCCGCAAAGGTGGCGTCCCATACCAGCTGCTTTCCCTCTCGAACCGGCACCAAGGTCAATCCGTCTGGACGCTTTCCATTGTCCCTGGATAACCCTACGGGCTCCAACTCGCAGGGAAAGCCCGCTGCTACGCATCCTCGTTCCAGTATATTGTTCAGTTCTGTGTGTTGGCTCCATCGACCTTTGCTGTACAGGCAGGATAATCCATGATGGCCATCGGGAGTTACCTGAAAGCCACATCCTGCGCATTCATGCGGTGCCACTACCGGCAAACCAAATCGTAATCCGATTGCAATTAGAACTTGTTCGTCATTCACCACCGTTCCCAAGCATGCTGCCGGTAGCGCGTGCAACCATGCCGCAGATTCTTTCTCAGACGCCGCTAATAGTGCTGCCATTTCCTGCGGCTTACCACTGGCCATTGCTTGTAGGCGTAGCTGCGAGTATGCACGTTCCACGACTGGCCAATCCCAGCTTTTCTGGTATTTCCTTAAATTTTCGGAGGGCAATTCGCACTGATACGTCCTAACCCACTTGTCCGTAGCCTGATCCAGACCCGATATTCGGTCGACTGGGAGCATTTCCAGGCACACTGGCAAAACCGAGGACGCTGAGGCGATAAACGCCGATAAAGCTAGCACCTCTGCTCGCCGCATTCCCAGGCCTCCCCGGCCGACCGGAAGAGTCATCTGTATCCAATTCTTGTCATCGATATGGGCATTGACAATGGAGGTAACCGCACCCCGCATTAAGTCGTCGAATTAACGCAGAACCAAGGGATGTTCGTAGCACTGGCTGCTGCGTTAGGGTATGCATTAATTTTGGCACGCTGAGACAGTTTCGGAGCAGATACAGAACTTGTTGGGATGGCAGCAGTTTTAGTCTTTTCACTAGTTTCTCTATCAGTTGAATTTTATTTTTCAAAAAGGATGGCACTGCGATCACGTTGACAGGTGCTCCCAATAGCGTTAGGTTTTCGCTCTCCAAAATCTCAAAATCTGGCCATTCCCAAACCAAACGATGCTTGGCGGCCGCTCGCTCTTCTTCATTTCCGTCGAAGAAGAAAGCTTCACATTTACTGTAGTTTAGCATAAGGCCAATCTTTCTCCCTTCTTCCTCTATTGTTCGGATATCTGCCATTACTTCTTCAATCAGTCCCGCCAGAGTTACGTCATCCAAAAAGCCGGCTTTAAACTGGCTTATTAACTTGCGTAGCAATGGAAATGTCCCCAGGCAGTATGCTAACGGTCCTCCTGGATCGCCCTGCTGTACGCCGCTTTCCGAAGCAATGACGGTATCCTGACAGGCCAGATGGGACACGGGTACGTAAGACTGGTCGAAGTAGGGATGATACACTGGTATGATCGACTGCACTGCTTCCAACACTGCGCTTCTACTGATCATATTGAAGGCGTTTTTGAAGTCAAGTTTGACCATCACACGCGTTCCTCCGTGGTCAGTTTCCAAGTAAGTTCGCGCTGCATGTACAACAGCCTCCGCGCCTCCTTTCGTGCCATATCCCAGTTGAATGGGGCGGAATAGTGCACCTAATTGTTCCTGACACCTTGCGCTAACAATTTTCGAAGCTACTCTGCGTAACACCTCACCAACTGCGATGGGGCGGATTCCTCCCGTAGGTTTTTTTAAAGGGATTAAATTAGCACCAAACAAAAATGGTCGCACTTCAGTTGGAACTTTGCCATTGAGTACAATGTCCATTAGACTCGTCATCGCCAGACACAGCTCACTTTCCACATCGTCCCGGCGATTCAACAAGTCTTTTAAGTGCTGCGGCTTCATTCCCGTGAACCCTCCCGCAGAGCCAGCAGGCATATTAAAAACGGCGTCCAGTAACTCAGTAGGAGAAACACGCGGTACTGCTGGTGGCACTGGGGCAAGAGTGGGAAAAATCTCATCGATCGACCGCTGGGGATGCTTATCTCTTAATGCAGCTACGGTTTCATCATTCATCTCCGCTATGGTTTCTTCGGAGGAAAGAAATTTCACAATATCCTTAGTCCGCCCATTTTGAAACATCTGAGCCACGCGTTAACGAAGCTGCTCTGTGTCATCCATTCTCTTTCCCTTGTTTCCCTGTGGCGCTTTGCGAGTTGAACGACGACTGGGGCGGTCGGTATCTGTATTGCCCTCTTCCATCGCATGGAAATTCTTTTTGACAATACTGCTCAGAGATTCCTTCCGAAGAGCTTTCGACTCGGGCAATGCCAGGGCGAACCTAGAAAAACTAAGCACTGCGGACCAGGACGCCACATCATTCTGCTGCACACAGCGACGGACTCTCTTCAAAAATTCCGCCGTACAAAGGTGCTTGGCTGCTTTGGGAATCCTAGCAGAGATCTTCACACGTGGTCCCGTTAGCAGTTCCTGAAGGCAAGTCACAGGTGGAGGTTGTTTGGGAGCGTTCTGCCCATCTTGACTGGCGACGTGGTCCTTGGAGGCTTTGAACCGCATGTCCAAAGAACCATCCTTCTTTCGTCGTAGCTGAGACTGGCCGCTTGTCGCCATGAGAATAAAATGAAAGAAAAAGCGGCAGTCCGTGTCCAGGAAGCAATGAGAACGAAACAGCGTGCGAGAAACTTACTGGGTCTTCGTTGGTGGTCGCTGGATGTCTGCGGGACAGCTGCCACCACACAGCCTCTGGCGAACCCCAGTCTACCAGACTCAGGTCCCGCAGCCACCCTCCATACTGAACGGCGGGAAATTTGCCATTCAGGGGCAATATTTATAAGCCCAATCAGATGCAGCAATCAAGGAAGATTAATTTAATCAAAATATTAATTTTATAGGAAGAAAAAATGTACTGCCCTACGAGTTTTCCGTACTTGTTAGGTTAGTCAGTGGTTGAGGAACAATTACAAACATGTCATAGAAACTATACGTAGGCGAACTATACGATTTATTTATTATTAACTGATTTTTTTTATTTATTTTTTTTGGCCTGACATATTTAATAATTTACAATGCAATGCGCCTCTGCGCGCCGAATTTTAAGCGTGAGTTCAAAGTTCAAACGAACGGCCTAGAAGCCGGCACAGCAGTTCTTTTTGAACGAGTGTTTAAAGGCATGAGGGGAGTTGCAATTGGTATTCCCGCTTGTGCGCATATTGTTTATTGTTTATTATACGGCAGGCAGGTAACCCATTAAAGGCTAGGATCGAAATCTAGCTGGGAATTTAAACCTGGCTAAATAACAGGCATCATAATGAAATTAGAGCAAAACCCATTAATACAAGAGAAGGATTAAGAAAAGGAAGGCAATCAAGTAATGATAACATGCTTCAGTGCATTACGAAAAACAGCGAGTGAACTGCTACTAAGAATGCCGTTGCCGGCCTCGGTTAGCTGGCTCATAACGTTGTTCAGCCTCCACCGTTCATATGTATACGCTTTTTCGCGCACCCTATAACTTTTTTTGCATTATACATGTATTATGACAATTTTTTTGCGACATGGGGATGTGTGCGTAAAATAACACAGACTGACGTAAAATCGCTTGTGCATGCAACATGCGGTTGGACGGTTCCATTGTTGTGCGTGGAAATACGATTTGAACAGGTTTGAACGATACGATACTATTTCAAAACGTTTGAATACAAGAAGGTGCAAGCAGTCCTATTATCGACCGACATTCTGCAAATTTTGCGGGGAAAAGAGAAAAAGCCAAAGATAATAATAATTATAGTTCGAGATAGATAATCGAGACTTCAAAGTAAATATCCGAGATATGGACGCAGCAAAGAACTTTTGAATTTTTTTAGCAGAGCATCACGGAGATGAATAAGCGAAATAATAAGTACAGTACATGTATAAATCTACAAACTTACAAATTAGCTCCAAGGTTTCACAGCGCGGTAGAGCAGTCATGGCTGTGGGTTCCAAGATAGTGCTGTCGGGAAACACTCTTATTTTGTCTCTCTCCGCACTCGCAGTACCAGTCAACAACGTTAACGGTAACGAAGTATTTCAAGTTAAGTATACGCTCGGTACTCGGTGCTCTCAAGTTAAGTATCAAGCACAATACAGGAAGTTGGAAACATAGCTGAATATCGTCGAAATAATCTTTATTCACCTTTGGTATAACGTACAATTAAACACTTTAAAACATCGCAAAAGTTTTTTACAACATTAAGATTTCATTAAACTTTTCCGCTCCTTCCATCGTCCCCATAACTGATGCCGCATTTCCCCGCTGTATCTCCAGCGATAATCTTTGACGTAAAAACTCATGGGAGCGCGCTTCGCCTGTGTGTTGTTTCAGTCGCTTGCCAAGTTCTTTAATAATCGCAATGGCCGACGGTCCCCATGGTCCCATTGTTTCGAAGGCGATTGGCGCAAAAATGTATCTGCCACTCAAATACAAATAGAATCTTGACTTTTTTCTTCTGCCTCCATTGCAATCGCACCTGCGTTGGCTGCTGATGAGTTAACGTGTGAAGGCGCGACAGTGTCCACGCAAGTAACGTCCCAAGCTAAACACATCCCTCTCTGCCAGGCGAAGGTTGTACAGCCATCGGGCCGCCGTTCGGACGTGTGCGACGTGCCACGTGGCTCCAACTTCGCCGGAATCCCAGCCGAGACACAAGATCGACAGACAATACTGTTCAGTGCTCCGTGACGTGGGTGTCTGCCAGCAGAAAACGCACAGGACAACCCATGATGCCCATATTTGTCGACATGCTTGTGACACTTCATACATTCGTGAGGCTCGCATATAGCAATTCCCAATCTCAGGCCCACGGAGATTTTTAAAGTGTCATCATCTAGGAGATTGCCAATGTGAGAGGAAGGCAGTGCATTTAGCCAAATGCCGGCTTCTGGTTTAGACTGTGCGAGAAGCCGCGCTTTGTTCACTTTATCGTCCCGGAAAACATCTAGCAGCGTGGATAAAGATACATTACAGAGAGGAATATCCCAGGCCTTCTGTTGTCTGCGGAAGTTTGGTTCTGGGAATTCCGGTTGGTTGGACTTCTGTTTCCACAGTTCGAGGGCTTCTGTAAATACGACGGGCGCACGAATTGGAAGCATTTTCGATACTAAATCGGATACGGAGTGAATCGAAGCCAAATAGGCTGGGAGTGCTAATTCCTCCGACCGACGTATGCCGATGCCGCCTCTGCTAACGGGAAGACTAGCCTGTCGCCAGCAAGGGTAGTCGTCGTGACTAGTACGTACGTTGCACAGCGTTTGGAAACAGGAGCGCAGCATCTCGTCTATTTCATATAACTTCAGCGGGTACCTCCAGGCGTTGCAGCATCTCAGCATGTAAACGACTTTCGGCGCGCCAAGGCAATGTTTGAGGAGATACAGTGCATGGTGACGCGGCAGAATTTGCAACCTTTCACATACGCTGACCAGTGTAGCTGCCTTTTCGGTAAGCGATGAGCCAATCGCGTCGTCCAGCACGGGGGCCCCGAGCAGTGTAAGAGTAGAACTGGACACAATGCGCAGCTGTGGATGTCGGGCAGCAAAATTATTAAGCACTTCTTGCTGCATACTTTGAGTCCCACCTGAAACAAATAACTCACACTTGCTAATATTGATGTCAAGACCAATGGAGTGTGCATCCGCAATGACTCGGGCAAAGCAGTCAAGCACATTCGCAGGAGATCCGCCTAAAGTTCCGTCGTCAAGAAACCAGGCGTTGAGCTCGGTGGATAACGCTCGGACTAGGAGGTGTAGAACGAGACAAAACAGTAATGGGCCCAAAGGATCTCCCTGCTGCACACCGGATTCCGATGACAATATGTGTTCTCCCACGAAGAGGGACGAATAATATCCATATGCTGACAGAACGAATGCACTGTATTCCGGGAAGTGTGTGTCCACGACTTTCAGCACGGCTTCCCTGGAAACGGTGTTGAACGCATTCCTGAAATCGATTTTCAATAGCGCTTTTGTCGATTCAGGGTCGGATTCCAAAAACTGTCTGGTTGCATGTACTATGGCTTCAGCTCCGCCACGTACGTTAAATCCCATCTGTACTGGAGATAAAATGGCGAAATAATCGGGTCCGGAGAAGTAGCCCAGAACTGCTAGCAAGATTACAGTCAGTGTCAGATACAAAATCCAAAATTCAGACCCAAGTGCATGTGCTTATCTACGTACGACAGCTACCAATAGCGAATTTTAGATTTCACAAAACAAGTTCCGTCTAGTTCGACGTTCGGGTAGAAGTTGGCGTTACGGGTTGATTTACGTCCGTTCGCGACGTAAGGCACCGTAACCCAACGTCGTTGGCTGACGCGTAAAAACTATCTGCCTTACGTGGATCTGTGCAACGGCTCAGCCATATGTCTGAGCGAGAAGGCAGCGTATGCTGCCTGTGGATCTTTTTTGTGTGCTCTAACCGCCTCCCCGCGAGAAGGTTGGTCACGCTCTCGGCATCCGTCGAACTTTTCCGGTTTGGCCTATTAACCGCTCTTACGTTTACAGATTACTGAGTAACTTATACTACAACATCAACGGCATTTAGTGCAAATGCATGTTAGTGCAAATTTCAAGGGGTACTAAAAGTGCCAGTGTCGGCAGAGCTAGGTCAAAATAATGTTATCTGTACGGGTAAATAATGTTCGACCACCTGTGTCATAAGTGCTGTGCTTTTTAAGACCGTTGAAAGAGTGTGTTGTGTATACAGAAAGAATAGTTTGTGCAAGTTTTCCTTACCTGAAAAAATCACTTATATAAATCACTGATCATATAAATCACTTAATATTTCGTTACTTACGTTACTTATATAGATTTACAATGTACATACATCACATTAAAAAATTGTCAACGGTAAGGAGTAACGAACCGACACTAAGTGGACACCGGAACCGAGTTTCAGTAATAATATTCAGTATCACCAAAAAAATGAAATACCGCACAACCCAGACTCTTCTCTGTTCAAATCCTGGGCTGAGCAGCGGTTGACGGTAATGCTTTGCCTAGCATTCAATAGCAGAGTAGTTACAACAAGAAACGAAAACAAGAACACACGTTGCATCGAAGACAGTGAATTGTTTTCATGTGTGCTTCCCGGTCGCCGGAAGAGCTCTGTCGCACGTGGTTGGCCGGTGGACTGGTGCGCTGCCCTATATATGGCCCCCATCGTCATTCGCGCCTTCTCTCCAGCGGCCGTTGTATACAGCTTACATCAAACACAGCCGATACATTCTACATAGGTTACGTGATAGAAAATCCACGGAACTGTCAATTAACAGCGTGCGTACGAACGCAATACGGTACTACCAACGAGACTCAGCGAGAACGCTGCCGGTTTCTATTAGGGAATTTTAGATTTCACATGGCTTAGGCTCCGTTCACTAGAAACTACCGCGTCAGGTAAACAGTACGTTAGCAGACTAAACGGCGTTTAAAATGCTTGTACGGATGCCCACTTGCAGTGACGTACAGCTGGAAAAATAAATTGAATCGAGAGTACTGATTTCTGAAATACTGAAACTGCAGTCGTTTCCGGTCTAAAACAGGTACCGAACTGAATCAGAACCGATAGCTAAGCCTCACGGAATTAATGTCTGCCGCTCGGATGCCGAAGCCCTCTCTGGATGCCGGATTGTGTCGTGTGTCTTCAGGGAAATCTGCCACAAAAACCGCAGATGGCATTCTTCGCATTCATACTGGAAATCCTCAAAGGCTGTTCGAAGGCGCGGCCTGATATGTCTGGGGTGCGGACTGGCCGGCAGACCGGCCGCTATTCTTTCCGTACATTCGTTTCTGTTCTTTTCCTGAAGATCGCCGATATGCTTCCTGCGCATGTGTGTTAACAAAGTGTATTTACTGGCATACATCTTGTCGCACTGACTGCACTGCATAGGCACTTTCGCCGGCGACAATTTCAGCTTCTTCCCCAAGTGCACGGTGCGTCGATGGAGCCAAAGGGCTTGATAATTGTTGAACTGCTTCAAACAAACATCACACACGCGTGATTTAGAGCCAGGTGGCCGTCCACGGCGCACTGTTTTGCTCCTTGGAGTCATCGTCGTTTCACCCGATGGGTCCGCATTGTTGTGGCACGTCACCATATGTTCGTCAAGTTTGTCCTTTCCGCAACAAGCAGTCTGACATATGCTGCACGCCATCAAGCGCGTGGGGTCATGGTGCATCAGATAATGGATGTTGAGAAGCGGATAGGTGGACAGGCTCTTAGCGCACACCGGACATGGGTATTTCCCGTTAACTCTGTGGTCCACGACATGACTGTTAAGCAGACTGAAAGTCCCGAACACCCTAGCGCAGTACCAGCACTGCAAGCTTTTACGTTGAACCTCAGTGTGGAACTCCAACGTCCGCTGAGTGCTGAACCGCTCTCCACAATCCGGACGCTTGTGCTTCCAGGTCTTCGTGGTGCGCTGCATCGCGGCCGGATGCTTTTGGATATCCTTGTCGGTGTGCATCTTCCCCAAATGGTAGGCCATATTCAACACTCGCTTCCCGCAAACCGGACATATTCCTCTTTTCCGCAATTGAAGTGGGGCTATCGATTTTAGTCGGTTCATTTTCTCTATCGGTGCATCTGCCGCGTTTACTGCACCTTCATCCTCGACAGGTTCAATCGACGGCGTCAATCGACAACTACCGTCCGGCAACACCGGCATGTCTCCGCCTGCAACACCCGATAACTGAGATGACCGACTCAGATAAAAGCTATCTAACTGCCAGCAATAAACCTAGAATCCGTGACCTTTGAACGTTCGCAGTTTACACCGCATAAACGCTGAACATGCGTGATGTACATGATTATTCGGAAACTGGCGCATGCAGTAAAGTAAACAACTGCGCTTTCTTTGGCCGTAAAGCTTAAGGCTGTATAAAATAATTATAATTAAATAGAGTTTTAATTTATAATACACGTTCCCGCGCAAATTTTTAAGCGAGAATTCAAACGAACGGTCTAGAAGCCGACACCAAACGACCATAATTATTATTAAGAGAGGATGCCTCTCTGACAAGCGTATACAAATCATTTACCTACAACTACAAGGTGTCTTGTAAACGTCTTGTAAAACGTCTTGTAAAACGTTGCTTAACGTCTTGCAAAACAGGAACTTATTCAAAATGGAATTACTTCTGTCGTTTCATGTTCACCTGTTTTGTCAGTCCCCGCATCATCGCTACCCACAACACCGGTATTAGCTTCCGGTTCAACTGAGACGACTGGCGTTACGACAGCGGCTATCTCCTGCGCATTAACAACCGCTATATCGCCCGGCAAATTGACGGCGGAATCTTTGTCTGGCGGCAAGACCTTGCGCACAGGGATGGATAGCTTTCTGCGCTTTTGCGCACGTGCATCTAGAATAAACAAAGAGTCGGTCTCACTAGTTTCGAAGCGAAGCTAGCTACGGTAAGGGGCTAAAGTGACGGCGACGGTGACGGCCGCTAAACCGTACGAGGTGGTTATTTCACCGAGCCTAACTAACTCCACGCTAACTATTTTACCGAGGCGAAGATGAAATTTTCACCGGATCATAGAGCCCGTCAGATATGCAGTGGGCCACATACATCGTTAAACAGCTCGTGGAGCCACCTCGCTAGTTGGAGCTCTATTGCAAGTTTGCCGCTTCGCTTCGGAAACTGCGACCCGCTGAAAGTGTTACGACGTATTTGGTAGAACGAAACAGTATGAGATGATGTAATGTCATGGCCAAACCGGCCGGTCAACAGATCCTACATAGCGGTAATTTTAATTGTCAATTCTCGATGTATGTTTCTAGTACTTACAACTGAGCAAGTAATGGTTTTTTTAAAAATTTAAGTGCTTCCTTCATAGGCCACACACCTGAAATCGTGGAATCGGAAGCTCGAGTGCTGTGATTTTCCTTATCTTTTAGGGACGCACCATTCTCGGTAGATTCGGAGTGCGGTTCATTATGATTATGCATCAACCGGACTGTATTAACGGGTCGTCCCGAACCATCTCTCGGTACGATAATGGGCCGAAGGTGGGTTCTCGTCCTAACAAGGATTTTCCACGTGGAAGACGGATCCTCGTGGTCATCACCACCAATATGACTGGCTGCTATTACGTTGTCGCCTGCTTGTTGAGCGTTCAACCGCACAGGACAGCCGATATCTTGGCAATAAATTAGCGAGTACGCCACCTTCAGTTCATCGCCCGGCAAAATCGCTTTCGTTGAAACAAATAACACATGAGTTCGTGTGGGGGAAATAGCATCCGGATCGGATAGCAATGGAGATGTTTCTTTAACCTACAGTGGAGTGCATACCGAGACAAACTACTCTGGTTAAAATCAAAGACCACGTACAATCAAAACCAAGTATCATACTGTACGAGTACTTGATCTGTAAACTATCTGTATATTTGCTACGTACTTCGAATGCAGCCAAATTTTGCTCCTCTGGAGTTGCTGCAAATCTAACAAATTTCATCCAGTTGGAAGTCTTATCCGATTCCAGCTGGAAATAATGCAGTCGTTTTGTCGTTGGCTTTCCGCAGGCAAACGCCACATCCGCCGATTTACTTGTACTGAGTTCACCGATTAATGGACCGAAAACTGTCATACGCGGAATGGTTTCCTTGGCGAAAACCGCTTTGCCTAATAAAACGGCGTGGTGTGCTCTTCTGAGTCTCTCAAACCACGATATGTTTTGGATTTATATTATTATATAACTTTATATCTAGGTTCTAGCGTAATTAATCACATTTCCCACGTATTTTATCGAATACATTATTAAGTTTTGTTTTTCTTCGTTGCAAGATCCTTGGACATACACCTATAATTCTCAGTTGCTTATTTTTTCAAATTAAGAAACGGTTCCAACAGGTAACCTCTAAAATTTTCCTTTCGAATGATCAATCTTTCCCTCTTATTTTATATTTAAAAAAATTTATTAAAGGTATTTGTACCATTTAAGGCCATGGCTAGTTCGGCTTTATTCATAACAGGCCATTTTGCAGAAGTAAGGCGCTTTACAGATTGAAGACTGCTCTATCCGATGGTAAAAACATTGAAGTGATAAAAATCCAGGGTTATGAAATATAAATTTTTTAAGTTAGCTGCCTTAACTGAGTAACGATGCTAGCAGTGACTGGCCCGGCTCACCATTACGAACGCATATGCAAGTTAGCGCACCTGCGATGAAATCAATGGAGAGCACAGAATCGGGCTACGCATCTTTTGTTCTACTGCCAGCCATAACACAGCACTGGTCAGCGGAATCAAAGCAAACACCGAAAGACAATAGATTTTGATCACACTCAAGTGTGGTAAGAAGCGGGCAATGGCTGTCTGGATAGTCACTATGGTTTGATATGTGTGGTGGGCTGAAACAGTCAACATGCCCATGAGTGATATAAACTTGCATGAACTTTTGAAGGCTACCGTTCAAATTGCACCAGATAAAGTTTGAAAACTAACTCCTAATTCAGGCGATCTAACATAATTTTTAAACTTGATGCATTGGGTGTGGAAATGCCTTAGAAGTATAATTGCGAGAGCGATTTTGAAAAAAAATGTTTTAACTCAAGTTATTTACGAAAATCGAAACCCTAAATGTGTTTTTTTAAGTTTGTGAAGTTTACAAAATTTTTTCAAAAAAAGCTCTAACAAGGTGCAGGAGGACTACGTTTACGATTTTCTGGGTGGTCTATCTAAAATTCTGTGTGGTTGCCTGAAGACTAGTTAATTTTTTAGCGTGATTTATTCAGTTCACATTTTAAACTGTGTGTTTAAAGCCAATCTTTCCGGTTTTAAGTTGTGAATTTTTCTCAATTTAAACTGGATATAACAAAGTATCAAAAAAGAAAATACGATTTCAAGAAACTTAAAAAACCGACCTTCTTCATCTGAATAAAGCCAAACTAGCCATGGCCTTAAGCGAAACTCACTGTGCAATTGTAATTCGTAATTTATCTGTAGTTTTTCTATTGGTGACCTCACCAGACTGGCCATGTTGAGGCACATCCAAGTACAAAACGTTGGGAAGGCTTGCCACAGAAATGACAGAATACGGCACTGCAGCAGCATCTCGTACGCGTTTGGCATGCAAAAAGCATGGGACATGCGTCCATTTCTTACACAGCTCGCAAACTAAAAATTGCAGCAAAATAAAGCAAACGACGATTAAAAGCCAATCAAAACGTCAGAGTAGGTAGCTGTGAAACACCAATGCATATTCCCGATAAAGGACGCAACAGGGACACTCAGCAGAGCCTCCCAGAGATATATAAGCGAAGTAATAACTACGTATACATGTATAATTCTACAAACTTACAAATTAGCTCCAAGGGGTCACAGCGCGGCGGAACGAACATGACTGTGGAAAGTGCTGTCAGGATAAGCTCTTGTTCTGTCCCCGCAGTGCCATGCAGTCCGCAATGAAGTTAGTACACTAAATTAAGTTAGTACACGCTCGATAGTCGATAGACTCGATACTCTTCGTATCCGCCACAGTCACGGCCGATACGGGCCGAGAGCGCAATAATATCCATCATGCTAAAGGAAAGCTGGACCATAGCTGATATCGTCGGAACAGTCGGTGGCGGAAAAGCAGTCCCGAACTTCAGCAAGGCTAGAAAGATTATTGTCAGACTCAAAATCCAATATTCAGATCCAAAGTGCATGTGCACAATCTACGATAGCTACGAATAAAAACCGGCAGGGTATGTACCTCCTCTTTGAGTTGCGGTGGTAGTACCGTACAAGTACGGCGTACGTACAGACGCTGTTTTCGGAAAGTTCCGTGGATTTCGCACCATGTACCTGTGGCTGTGTTTGATATAAGCTGTATGCAATGGCCGGGAGAAGAAGGCCCGATTGGCATTGTGGATCGTATGGGCAGCACAGTAGTCTGCCGGCCAATCAGGGTCGAAAAAGCTCTTCCGGCGACTTGGAAAACATAGATGAAAATTAATGTTTCTGCTTTAAGTTTGTTTTTCGTTTCCTCTTATAACTACTATGCTGCTACATTAACGTGATGAGTGGCCATCACATACATAGCAGGGGCAGGCCGCAGATTTAGTCCCTTATATAAGAATGTGCAGTTACATACTTACGGCTCGGGTACCGGCAGTTTGTTGCAGTCATATAGATATTGCACGGGGTCGATTACCTATACACTGTGCACATGTATTAAGTAAGTACATTAATTTTACATTTGCAGACTCTTTCTTTCTTTTCCCATACAAGTCGAAGCCGTTGTTCTTTCACCTATATCCTATCTCACAATCTTTGATACTTGGTTTATGTACTGCTATAAAAGCCAAATTACAAGCAGGTAAGATATCAACTTGAACTGATAAACACAAATCATGACGGACGGACGACAGCAGACAGCCGGTGGTCAGCCCGGGGCTCAAACATAGAAACGTCTGGTTGCGCGGCATTTTAATTTGCCTGGTGGTACATCAAGTACTTATTATAGTGTGAGAAGGACTGGTAACCAACCGTTTGACGTTATCACTCTCGCATACACAGGAGGGCGGCTGCCATGGTGACAGATGCGCGTTTTTTACGGTTTTTGTCAGTTTTCTCAGCAGATTTCTATTTCCACCCCCCGAAATTGGGATTTTAATATTTAATATGATCTAATAAAATCTCAGAGAGCCTTTTATGAGAAAGAAACTTCAGAATATCTTCTAAACGAGACTACACAGTCTGTGGGACGATGGTAAGGATTAGCACAGCAGCGCTTTCTGTATGCGACAGTGATGACGTAGTCGACTGTTGCGGAGTCCGTTCCCAGTCATTCTAGCTATAGTACAGTAAGTTCTTGGGTACATGCATGTAACTGATTTCGGGCGTGCGATGTAGGCTTTTATTTTCAGTGTTGGTTCTCACCATTGACAAATTTTTCAACGAGATTTTTAAGTATACCGTAATGCAAATTTGCAAGAACGTTTTCTTCTGCACCTAAAACAGATACGTAATGTACTTTTTTCAGTGCATACAAAAGACACTGCGGTTACGTCACACAGAACAATAATAATTTAAAATGTAGTTCAGGTTTTCTAGACGCAGTTTCCTAAATATCTGTACACGTAAGAACGGTTTAAAACGACATTAAAAAGGTCGACGCGGGATACAGAAACTGCAGTCGTTTCCGGTCTTAAATCGACACGTTGTGCTTCCCGTCGCTGCACTTGTTTCGTGCACACTGCTGCGGCGCGCTCTTGTGAAGCGAATCAATAGTTCCATAAACCCTCTTAAACTGAGTAATGACCTTTATCCGACACTGTACCTGCGAATTTGCAATCATAGATTTTTGGGGCGACACGAAGCATCACTCCCAGCATTGCGCGTTGCTACCAGTTATTACTGCATATCATCAAATTCCTCAATCTAGGCAAATCCGGAGGCATTTTTCAGAACCACCTCATTACATATACTCTGTAGCGCAAAAAATCCAGTCATTTTCTATGTCAAACAGAAAATTAGTACAAAGATTTCGCAGAACTAATCGCACGCCCGCCAAGAATTATTGACTGCTGCTTGACGGCTGACCGTATTGGCGGGAAGACCGGCCGCTACCTTGTCCGCGTGATCTCTGGTTAACTTCTCTTTGGCGCTGCCGGTACGCACCCGGCGCATGTGCTTCTTCCAGCTTCATTGATCGGCATACATCGTGACGCAGAGACTTCATGCTCACTCTCGCTGGCATTTTTCCTCCTCTTTCCCAAACGCAAGCCACGATCATATACCCTTTGTTAAAGTGTTGTTTGTCGATGCATGACGCAGTGTTCTGCTCCTCGTCGCTCCATTTGTTTGGTTTGCACTACTGTCCAACGTCGCCATATGCGCGTCCAGCTTGTCTTCACCACAACAATTTATCTGGCGCATACTGCGCGCCTTCGAGCGCAGCGTTTCACGGCACGCCTGATAATGAACATTGACTCGTGCATAACTGGGCAAGATCTTATCACATGCCGGACAAGGATATCCCCCGTTAACCTTGTGCTCCACGACATGACAGCTAAGCAGTCTGACTGTACGGATTATCTTGGCACAGTAGTTTGTGCTGTATCCACACATGGGTGTTGAGATGGGAATTCTGTCCGAATTTCTGCCGACACTCCGGACACTGGAACTGCCATCCTTCCATGATCAGTTTCAACGCTTCCGGTGGTGGCTTTCCATGTGGTGACGGGCCCAGTTTCCTAACGCGGCACCGCACAGAAGACAGAAATGTCCTTCTGTCCGGAACGACACAGCGTGCTCCGATGTGTGTTTGACCAGTTCGGCGAAACTTGCCGTCACAAAAGGGCATTCTGAACACTGTTCTTCATGCTGATCAGTGACAGTATCAGCAGAGTTACCATGCATAAAACTGTGCACATCCAGGAGCGTTTTACTGGGTAACGTTTTGCAGCATTTGGTGCAACGGTAATTTAGGAACCCTGTTTGACGCATGAATTCCACAGCCACAGCTTGACTGGCTTCATCGGGCCAAGCCGCTGCTGCGGAATGGACCTGCAAAAGTTAGCCTTTCCAAAATCTAATTTTGAGCAACAAAAGTTGCAATCTGTTTATGTGCTTACCCGTCTAAAATGAGTGCGAAATGAGGAGCGATTTGCGAACTTCCGATGACAGAAGAAACACGCATCATCCACAGCTCGGATGTCCTCGTCGGTGTGCATCGAGTCCAGATGGACGGGCATGTTCGCCGCACACCAAACATGCTCCAGTTTTCCGCAGCTCGAGGTGGGCTCGTGATTTTAACCTGTTCATTTTCAGTATCGCTCCATCGGAGGCTTCGCCGGAACTGTCATCTGGCGCGACCAGCGCGTTGGGTTCCGCAATTTCTTCGTCTAATATAACAGATCGCAGATTCGAACTCATTCACAGCGAAAAAAACCGTCTCTCACCTGTGTTATCGTTTCCCATGTCATCGAAAACCACTTCATCGCTATTAACTTCCGGTTCAACCGAACCGGCTGCCGTTTCGGCAGCATCTATCCCATGCGCGTTAACAGCCGCTATATCGCCTGACAAATTCTCAGCAGGATCTTCATCGGACGGCAAGGATCCGGACGGATGGGGATGGATAACTTTCTGCGCTTTCGCGCATTTGCACCTGCGAGATACAATAGGTAGGTCTCAATTTCAAAGGGGAACTAGTTACCGTACGGCTGCTAAACCGCAAGACGTGGCTGTTCGAGACTGGCATCGGGTAACATTTTTTTATCCTAATCCTATCCGAATTTTAAAAACAATGTGAAAATGCGCAAAATTAACAATTTAAATGATTTTATTGGTATAAAGTTGGGACACGCTGTCATTTATCCGACCCTATCCGAGTGCTACGGCAAATTATTCTTATTCTTATAACATTTCGTATAATTATCTTTTATTCTATCCGAAATTCGGATTCGGATAGGACAAAATCGGATATTCTTATCCGATGCCCATCTCTAGTGGCCATATGCATGTGCGGTTTAAGAAACCGGCTCGCGAGGAAGAGCACGTAGATTCGCTTCGAAAAATCACCCTAACTGAAATATAATCACATAATTATATGGCAGAGCGAAATGGTAATTAATGAAAGGTGACCAAACCGGCCGGTCAACGGAGTTTGTAAGCACTGGATATACAGAGTAATCAGACATATAGAGATACGTATCTATTACGAAATCTTTAGGTAACAAAATATTTTATGATTGGTCACCCGCAATTCTGTTCAGAATAGAAACCCTTCGCATACCCGAGTTGGTGGACACCCGACCGCTATGATTGTGCTTGTTTTCTGGAAACGGTGCACCGGCCTGGGTCGATTTAAACTCCGGTTCACGATGATTTTGCATCAAGTAGACCATATTAAAGATCGGCGAATTGTTAATGGTGGGCGTTGTTGTACGGCACAGTACACTGGTTGAAAGGTCTGGTGCCACATGGTTTTCCCACGTAGAGGAAGGATCTTGATTATGATTAGTATATGATTAGTATTGGTACGTACCAATATGGCTGGCTGCCGTTACATTATCGCCTGCCTTTTGCACCTGCGACCAACGACGGCAGCCGAGACTTTGAAAATAAACCAGGGAGTAGGCCACCTTCAGTTCATCACCCGGCAGAATCGTTTTCGTTGTAACAAATGCCACGTGAGTTCGTGTGGGGGAAGCAGAATCCGGATCGGACACCAATGGAGATGTCTCATGGACCTAGGTACAGAAAGCATACGGTAGAAAATCTTCCAGGTTGAATTGCTTATAATTGTACCCATCGCCTGGTTCGACTACGCATTCTCAAGCACATAGACTGGAAAAACATGGGGTACCATACATACGCCGGGTACTGGATTTCGAAAATTTTACATAGGTTCTAAACCTCTTTGATTTTAGCTAATGGTCACTTCCTTAAATTAGCCGGTAAATTATTTTTGAAAACTTAAAATTCAACCTTTTCTGAACATCTGAACAAAACCATTGCGTAAGAATTCCATTGCGTTGCCCTTTGGCTTTAAGCGAATAAATGTGTCTCTGAAAAGCACAGTACTGTACATAAAACATAGTAACAATTATTCAACGTTCAAGTTCAGTGATATAGGGCGTACGTCTTAATAATTATGTTTAATTAGTTTTACCGGAGCTTCACGGAGGGGAATATGCTAAATAGAAAGTACCTGTTAACCGAATATTCTACATAATTTAACATAAAACGTACAAATTAAATCCAAGGGTACGCAGCGCGTCGGAGGAGGCATAGCTGTGCAGAATACTCTTCGACTCCGAATACTGCGTAGTCCCAGTGCGTAACCAAATCAGCGTACGCAGCTGAATCTTTGAAATTAGTTAAACCCGTCGCAGTCGCGTTGAACGTAATAAACGGTGGTATTAATTACTTTTAAAGGAGAGCTGGGAATTGCGAGGATCGGCAGAAAAGTCGGTTCCGGAAAAAGAGGCCCGCCCTTTGGAAAGTCTACTGGACAGATTAGCATCGGATCTGAAATCAAAACAATTCTTGAAACTAAGGAGTGCACAAGCTACAACAACGTATGCGCACCGTAGTTCCAAAGAAACTGGTGATACTGTGCGCATTCTGGAGTCTTGGTTGTAGTACCGTACTGCGTACGTACTGACGTACGCATGCACGCGGTTAACTGAAAGTTCCGTGGATTATGACAACTTATACTCCGTACCGATACTGTTTGACATAATACGGCCGTTGGAGATAAGGCGCCAAAGGCCTTGTGGACCGCATGGTCAGCACGGCCACATACCGGCAACCACAATCAAAAGGCTTCTTCCGGGCGCGATTGCATTGACGGGCCTCAGGTGAGTCAGGTCTAATGAGGAATCGCGATAATACTCGTATTGTGTTACTGGGCACACTGTCCGACTCGGAAAGCACAGGCAAACTGTTACGGTAACTGTTACGGCATTTTGCATTTGCTTGTACGGGGTTGAAATTAAAAAGATTATTTTTTAGACTTAGCTATGCCACATTGAGATACCAGCTCATTCTCTGTCGTGGAGTTAGGTCGGTAGGATAGATTATTACGGTAATTATTCCTATCGTACTGATCTCTCCGTCAATGGAAATATCCACTGCTTCCGTTGAACCGGAAGTTGATGCCGGTGTTGTGGATTTCGATGATAATCCAGGTAAATAAGAAAGGCTTCTTGCTTGCTAGGCGTTAGGGTGGATCAGGAGTGCTCAGATTGCGGAAAGTAGAGCTGCCATCTCTGCTTATGGTTAGAAAGATCAGTATCAAATTCAAATACAAAATTCAGATCCAAAATACAGGAGACTGTTGACAGTTTGTACCTATAATCACCACTGACCAGTAACCGATGGTTCTACGGCACTTATTTTATCCCCTTTCGTAATGACAGCCTTAGCACAGGTGAACAACGAATCACTGTTTTCTTTTAGAGTATTCTTTCCTTAATCCTTGAATAGTTTGTCCCAGTTTGCATCCTGATGATCTGGTGAGCATTTTAATAATTTTGCTGTTGCTTATAATTCTGTTATACGTTCCTCGAAATACTTATAATTCTGTTATACTTATAATTCTGTTAGACGTTCCTCGAAATTCCGTTTTACTTGACACTTGACGTGACCTTCCTCCAACACTTTATCGTCAGCGGTGATCGCACAATCTGGCGCAGCGTCAGCATCGCAACTTTGCACCACTGTAGTAACAAATCTGTCTGTCTCAACAACTGAAAACGCATTTCTCACAAATTACAAGTTTACAATCACCCTACGACAATCACTAGATACATTCCAGACAATGGGGGAGTTCACACTGGACTGATTACTGACAATGCAGCCATTTCCGGTCTAGTGCAGGCGGCAGTCTAATATCAAAATCTATCTGGAGTAATAAAAACGCAGAATTAACGACTGCTACTTCGGCTGTTGCAGGATCTTCTCGGGATGCCGGGATTCGTTGTGCTTCGTCAGGGAGATCTGCCAGGTGTATCCCAGCTGGCATTCCTCGCATTTATACTTGAAATCCTCGAAGGCCGTCCGATTCCGCGGCCGGACATAGTTGCACATCGGATCGGCGGGCAGACCGGCCGCTATCCTTTCCGCCCGCACCTTTTGATACGCGAGCTTCTTCTTGCCACCGTCCATATGCACCCACTGCACGTGATTATGCAAAGTTTCTTTACAAGAAAACATCTTGCCGCACCGATCGCATTGCACGCGCACTTTCAGGGCGTATTTCGGCTTCTTCCCCAAATGCACCGTGAGGCGATGGTAATACATGGCTTGATAACTTTTAAAAGATTTCCCACAAAAATCACACGCGCGAGTTGGTTTAGCACCAAGCGGCCGTCCACAGCGCGCTGTTTTGCTCACTTCCCGTTCGTCCGCATTGCTGTGGCTGGCGGCCATATGCTGGTCCAGTTTGTCTTCCCCGAAAAACGTTGCCTGACACACACTGCACGTCTTCAGCCGCGTCGCATCGTGGCACGCCTGATAATGAACGTTGATCTGTGGATAATTCGGTAGGATCTTGTCACACGCGGGGCAGGGATACTCCCCGTTGACGCTGTGCTCCACCACGTGACTGCCCAACAGGTTTGACGCCCGGAACACCTTGGCGCAGTACCAGCACTGGTAGCCCTTATGTTTCACCTTGGTGTGGAACTCCAGCGCCCCGCGACTCCGAAACCGGTCTCCACACTCCGGACACGGGTGCTCGAAGGTCTCCGTGATGCGCTGCATCACGTCGGGATGATGTTGCTGGATATGCGCGCGCACATGTTTCACACTCGTCCCGCAAATCAGACACGGCCGCCGGTCGAGCTTGCGCAGACGATGCTGCGAGGTGTGCTGCACCAACTCCGCAAAACTCGCCGCGTGGAACGGGCAGGCGGGACACTCCCGACGCGGATCGTCTTGCGGGTCCTCAGAATCCAAATACCGGAATGCGTGCAGATCGAGCAGCTCAAAGCTCGCAAAAGACTGCTTACATTTCCAGCAATAGCAGGAGAATTGCTGCGTGTCACGCATGTGCTCGATGGCGCGTTCCACCATCACGGGAGGAAGCGCCGATGCCGCGGTGTCCGCCACCGCCACCATGTCCGGATGCTGCACGGACTCGGTTTGATGAGAATCTCGGAGATGAATGCATAGTCGATGGTATTTCTTGAACGATTTATCACAAACCAGACAGGGAAACGATTTCTCGATCTTATGGGTCCGGACGTGCTGGTCGAAGACCAGCCACCCCCGGGCGCCACGCTGCCCGCAGTACACACACTGCCAGCCTTTGTGCTGAATGGACACATGGTTGTTGAGATTGGTATTCCCAGGAAACGTCTGCCGACACTCCGGACACTGGAATTTCCAGGCTTCCTTGATCAGTTTAAAGGCTTCCGGGTGGTGGATTTCCATGTGCTCGCGGATGGAGTTGCCAATTTCGGCACCGCACAGCAAGCAGGGAAATCGCTGGAGCTTGCGTGATAAAGCGTGCTTGGAGGTGTGCTTGACGAGATCGGCGAATTTCGCCGCTTCGAACGGGCATTCGGAGCACCGGCGCTGATGCTGATCCGTGTGGTCCTTATTATGCTTAAAGCTGTGCAAATCCAGCAGCTTTTTACTGGGAAACGTTTGCCGGCATTTGGAGCAACAGTAATTCAAGAATCCCGTTCGGCGCATAAATTCCAGAGCGGCCGCTTGACTGGCTTCATCGGGCACGGTCGTCACTACGCGGTGAACCTGCCAATGTTCGCCATTTTAACCAACGAACAGATACCACGTAATTTACACAAATTTTTTTATTTTGTATTTAATTCATTTATCTGTTGATGATTTTATTTTGTTTTTACGTATGTGCTTACAATATTGAAATGATGAGTCAGCGACGAGCGATTTTTGAACTTCCTGTGGCAGATGAAGCACGCATCATCCACCGCTTGAACATCCGCGTCGGTGTGCATGTTCTCCAGATGCTCCGGCAGATTCTTCATGTGTTTGCCGCACACCAAACACACTCCGCTGTTCCGGAGTTTAAGATGGGCTTTCGATTTCAGACTGTCCATTTGTTTTATCAGTACCTCAGACACATCGGCGACACGTTTCTGCTCGACGGGTTCCGTCGGTTGGGTCGATTCACCATTATCATCTTGTGGAACTGTCACTCTGGGTTCAGACGTTGATGTTTCTCCCCCTGAAAAACGAAATAACGGACTGATGTACAGGCTAACAAACTAACCGCTTTTGCGCAGATTCAGCCACGTTTTGCAATGCTTTGTAACCTTCTGTAGCCAAATGATTTGTATACACAGGCGCGAAATGCATGTGGATGCGCATTCCACTTCCGGTTGGCAAAATATGAGAGTAGCAAAATCTCAGATAGGTTAAAATTCTTCAGGTGCTTCAGATCTCAATATTAACCAATTTTCTTCAAATTTACTTGTAAAACCACATAACTATTGTAAGGGCGGGACGCCCCGCCCTCCTGAGTAGCTATTCGCTGTTTCTGGGGATTTCCACCCCGCACATTGCTGCGCTGTTTTGACGGACCTGCAGCACAGTTGCACTGGCTGCAGGATCCTTCCTCATTAGTTTTGGTGTTGCTGCGCCACGGTGCGCATTAGATTCGGCAATAAAGCCTCATCCGGGTTCACGCTGTTCGCTGTCGAGGATACGCGTGGCGCCCATATGGCCCCGCGTTATATGGTCGCAGATCGCGGTTTCGAGCCAGGCCGTGCGCGCTGCCCGCGCGCACGGCTCCTCTGATTATTTGAGCCAATTTAACCCCCATGTGTGGAGCTACAAATGCCCCCCATTCCCGCGGAACGTGATGGATTCCTCTCCCAACTGACGGAGATGGACGCCTCCCCGCGACGGATGCCTCCCAAACTGGACGGAGATGCCGCGGAGCGAGAAACGCCTCCTGCGATGCCGTGGAGCGAGAATTGCCTCCTGCGATGCCGACGGCGAACGCGACCCGGACCAGCGGGAAACCAGAACGAATACACCGCCAACAGCAGCACCAACTCCGATCCCAACGGCACGGATCGACCACCAGCACCACGCCGAAGAATTCCCCCACCAAAACACTGCCCGAACTTCCTGAGACGGCGACATCCCCCCGGACGGAGCAGTGGATTTCACCGCGGATTTGCGTGCTTTGTTTTTTTGCAGGGGTCACGGGCCACATAGACCCCAAACCCCTGCCCAAATTTCCCCAGAACGTGACCTTTCCCTTGCTGAAGAAACTACGGAATTCACCCGTTTCCGGGTTGGACCCTGGATCTGGCGCGACAGTGCGTTGACCCAGACGGTTGACTCGGACCGAACCGGAGCCGACCTGACCCGGAACCCAACCTGAGCCGAACCGGATTTGAGCCGACCAAACTGGAACCGAGCCGACCGGATTAACCGCCCGAACCGGACCGAACTGACCCGGAACCCAACATGAGCCGAACCGGCGGGGGTGCGGATCCTCCGAATCCTGGGAGATTTCGCTCCGAGGACGTAGCGATGCCTGCAAAAGGGGTGTAAGGGCGGGACGCCCCGCCCTCCTGAGTAGCTATTCGCTGTTTCTGGGGATTTCCACCCCGCACATTGCTGCGCTGTTTTGACGGACCTGCAGCACAGTTGCACTGGCTGCAGGATCCTTCCTCATTAGTTTTGGTGTTGCTGCGCCACGGTGCGCATTAGATTCGGCAATAAAGCCTCATCCGGGTTCACGCTGTTCGCTGTCGAGGATACGCGTGGCGCCCATATGGCCCCGCGTTATACTATGAATATTGTTTTCATACGGATTTGAGCTCCACCAATTTTTTTCAAAATTTCAAAATTTTTTATGTGTAGTTGTGTATGTGCAGTTATGGAGAAAATTTGAAAAAGACTGGTAAATAATGAGATCCTCATTCACAACCCTCAGAACTCGGCAACCGGAAGTTGCGCGCGCAAACACAGTTCACGCCTATGTACACAAATTATCTGGCCACAGAATGTTGTAAAACAATGCAAAAAGTGTCTGGAAGGGCCGCAACAGCTCAGGATCCCGTGGATGTGTACTTAAAGTACAGATTAAGCGCTATATACCGGATTTAGGGCTATGTACCGGCCCTAGTCAGGATGCACCCTAGGCTATGCCCTGGGCTATGTACCCTAGTCAGGATGCCCAAGATTGTGAGCGTACACTGTATTTATGCAATTCCGCCATCTTATCTGAGTTATCTCTCCACATCCAACGTCTGGTTGGAGATTTTGGAAAAGAAAAAATGTCCGGTTTTTTACCTAAGCTATCGTTCCCGGCATCATAAAAATCCCCCACACCAACGGCAACTTCCGGTTCAACCGCAACGTCCGGCACTGCGACAGCAGCGATTCCATACGCACTAACCTCCGCATTCGCCGGCATATTCACAACGGGATCCTCTTCATCAGGCGGCAAGAAATTGGGCAGCAAGAAACTGGGCATCTCCATGGAATCGTCCGTGAGTTTTCGGCGCTTTTTCGGCCTCGCCTCTATGGCCACCTGACCGGTATCATTTTCCTTATCTTTCACGGATGCACCGTTCGGGACCGGTTTCGGCCGCGGTGTATTGCGCTTATAGGTGAAACGCAGACGTTTGACGGTCGTCACCGGACGCGGTGGGATGATGGTGTCGGTCGGAGCGTTCGGCTCGACGCTGGGATTGATCTCTGGTCTAACGAGGCCCTTCCCAGTGGAAGAAGCGTTCGGATTATCGTGTTCAACAGTCTGACTAGCTGCCGCGTGATTCTTCCTTGTAGGTTGGGCCTTGGGAGCATCGGGACCACCGTATGCCTGGGAATAAACCAGGGAGTAGGCCACCTTCAGTTCATCGCCCGGCTGGATCGTTTTCGTTGAAACAAATATCACATGCGTTCGCGTCGGGGAAACGGCGGGAGCGGGGAGTAATGGAGACGCTTCGTGTACCTAATACAATTATTTTTCCAGTGAAATTCCTTCATTCTGCGACGTGTTTTCCCGGTAATCAGGCCAAAATAATGAGTTTTGAGGCGCAATAATTTTTATAATTCAAATACGGAAGTGCTTACACGAAGTGGTATCATCAAAAATACGAGTATATTGGAAAATTTGTTGTACTTCGAAAACTCAACTACAGATATGAGGCAGAAAATGTTTTTTTCTAAATTATGCTTTACTAGGCCAACAAAGAGAAAATCATCAGAAATATTCTGGATAGTAATTTTGATATTTCAGAATTTTATTATCACATCGTTTTGTTATTTTTCAGAATTTTCAATTCTGAAATCCGATTCTAACGATAGGCTCTTCAATCTTTAATTGAAGCGTTATATTTAAAGAAAATTTAAATTAAAGAAAATTTAAGAATAAAACCAATGCGATCAAATTTGCGAATTAAAAATACTGAATAAAACTAATAAAATTTCGTTGAAAGTGCAATGGTAATCAGAAAACGTCAAGAGTTGAAATGTCTACGAAGCAAAAGAAAAAGGCAGCACCATCTGCTTTTCCCAATCCGTCCTCGTGATTCGCCGATAATTCACCAAAGCTTTAATTATTATAGTAATTTGCTAATTATTTTCCGTACTTCGTACGCAGCTAAATTTTGCTCCTCCGGAGATTGTGCAAATCGGACGTATTTCATCCAGTTGGTCGTCTCATCGGATTCCAGATGGAAATAATGCAATCCCTTTCTCGTTGCATTTCCGCAGGCGAAGGCAACATCCGCTGGCTCCTTTTTACTGCGCACACCGATTAACGGGCCGAAAACTGTCAGAGGCAGAACTGCTTCTTTGGCAAAAACCGCCTTGTCTGTCAAAATATAAGAATACAAAATTTTTCACAATTTCGCACAGAAAAGTTTTTTTGAAATTTTGATATATAGAAAAAGAACATTAAAAAGTATTCTTTTAAACACTATTTAATCATTTAAATTAAAACAATGGTATGCTTGGAACATACGATAATTTTGAGTGATATATAAATAAATACTTTAGCAGTTTGCAACTTTGCAGAGAAGACATGTTTATTGAGTTTTGCTTACAATAGATTGCGAGTACTTATCCTGTTAAACATAAAATGGATTATTTTCTGCGTTCCCTTCTTTTGCTTTATTTTCCACAGAAGTTTTAAAAATCAAAATTTTGGAAAAAAAACCCTAGAAATATTTCAGAAAACGCCACTTCAATAAGAAAAATTATAAGAAAGAAAACAAGAATAAAATATGAAAAAATTACTCAGTTACAGAATTAAATCAGAAAAGCAATTATAATTATTGTATAGACAGCAACAGCAGTTCCTATTTAATCATTTTCGTTGGCATCCTTACCAGCCTGGCCATGTTGAGGTACATCCAAATACAGAATGTGCGGAAGACTGGCCACCGAATAAGGCAACACGCTGGCGTCCCGTACGCGTTGCGCGTGCGACAAACAGGGAAGATCCGTCCATTTCTGGCACTGTCCGCAAACTGAAAGCGCAGCAAAGTAAAAACATCTGATTTTTGCAGATAATTAGCAGGTCGCACAAAACTATTACGCAACGACCCATGTGTGTGAAGATTTCTTTGCAGCTACACTGCTACAGCTTTATGGAGACTCGAAGAAGTACTCCGCATGGGCTGATAGAAACTGAAAATACCTTCACAGCGATACGCAAAACTTACAGATCTGCTCCAAGGGCTGACAGCGCTGCGGAGCAGGCATGGCTGAACACTCCAACTCTCGCAAGATACTGTAATACTGGGAGTCTGTGCGAGTACTCCGCACTGCAATTCATTTGCTCAATATCATCAGTCCGCAACGAGCTATCAATTACGCTGCATGTTGTGCGGATTACTAATGAACCGATCCAAGCAATAACGAGAACGCGAAGACCTGCGATATCGTCGAAAATAACGGGGTCCCGAAAAGTGGTCGAAAACAGCGTAAACTTCAGAGAAGATTATATGGGAACTGGCTTAAGCAAAAATTATAGTCAACGTCAACGACTCAACGTAACACGTTACACGGTGATAAGTAATAACTTCGAATGGTGGAATTTAACGAACCCCCTTGCATAAAGAACAAAAACAACCCTAATGTAAGTGACTAACTGAAAAGCGAAGACAACGGATAAACGGAGAACTTTCGTGCCTTCTACCGCACCATGCTGGCAACATGAAGCAGCCGCCCTGAGATATCTGTGATCACGACTACTCGTACATATCCTGAATTTATGATATTTTATTTCTCAATACGCACAAGGCGAGCTTCGCTCAACAAATATGATCAAATGATCCTGAATCTGATCCTGAATCTATGATTTTATGCAACGCATTACCTGTATCTTTCGGCTTTCTGTAATGTACCCTAACAATCGTAAATTCGTAATCGTATTACAATCGTATCATTCGTAAAGTCGTATTAAAATCGTATTAAATTGTACAATCGTTATTTAAACGGGCTTGTATTAATTTGTACATGTAATTAGGGGCCATCCATAAATTACGTAACGCAAGTAGGGGGATGGGGGAGTCTTTGAAACGTTACGATTTATGACATAGGGGATGGGGGCTTTAAAAATTTTGTTACGTTTGAATGGTATAGCTTATGGACGGGTTTATCCCACACGTGTGCGTTTGTGGAGGGTTGGTCGACGAGCTAGGCCGGCATGGACTTCGCTGTAAGCGGTCCGCCGGAAGACTACCACGACACGACGGAATCAGCGCAGAATTTGCCCGAGGTCTGAAGTCAGCAGGCTTTCCTTCTAGAATGGAACCAAAAGGTCTGTCCGTGAAAGACAAAAAAAGGCCGGATGTGATCACGCTTATACCGTGGGCACGCGGAAAGCCGCTGGCCGTGGATGTTACCTGCGTGGACACGCTGGCGGCCTCGTAAATCGACCGCATCTCCGTGAACGCCGGCGCAGCAGCCGAACTCGCGGAAAGGAAGAAACTTTCGAAACACGCTTGGCTGCAACCAAGATACGATTTTGTTGCCGCTGCCTTCGAAATCTACGGACCTTTGGGAGACGGAACAACAAAGCTAGTGGAGAAGGTTGGAAAGGGTATAGCGACTTCCACTGGCCAGAAGCGAGCGGAAGAGTTTTTTAAGCAGCGAATATCTATGCAAATACAACGGGGAAACGCGATTTGTGTAATGGGTACGCTTCCCTATCAGGATAGCATAGAGGAAGTTTTTCTGTTATAATGACGTTCTGTTTTGGTACTAAGTTTGTACTTGTACAACGATACTTATTAAAGGTCTAGCCAATTAATGGACGGGTTTTGATTTTATTACGTAACGCTTAGGGGAGGGGATCTCAGTTTTGTTAGCATTAGTGACACAGGGGGAGGGAAGTATTCAAAACCGTGAATTTTGGCGTTACGTAATTTATGGATGGCCCCTTATTAATTTTCATGTACTAACGTATTACTCCATGTACAGTCGTAATAAATATTATTTCAATCGTATTATTACAATCGTATTATTCGTAAAGTCGTATTAATACAAAATCGTATTAAATTTTGTACAATCGTATTTGTAATTATTAATTTTCATGTACTAACGTATTACTCCATTACAGTTTTTGATTACAGTCGTAATAAATATTATTTCATGTATTTGTAAGTACATGTCGGTATATTATGGTCCATGAACTTGTATACTTGATGTGAAAGCTGTACGTGCGCAACATCCGGTTGCTGATTGTGAGAGCCACTGAGAGGGTGGAATCAGGAAAAAAGTTTCCAAAGGTTTATATTTAAACAAACGCACCGGAAGTCGCATTACAATCTCGTCATATTTTGATAAAACTCCACATAAAATTATTGAAGATTGTTTTGGCACCAAACCACGGTTCCGGCATTTCACAAATTTTAAAGCACTTGTATCAAAAATTTTAAATTTCATTCAAGCTGACACATGTGCAAAAAATCGGTCAATACCTTTTATGAATTGTATTGCCCAGTCGGATATTGCGTGCACATACGGTGTTAACGCCAATGTACAAGAATAATATCATTTGGCTCCAAATTTAAATGTCATAACACACCATGCACAAAAGTGAAGTACATAAGTTAGTAAGCTAGTTAAGCATGTAAGTTGACGAATTTTAGGATAAGTACAATACTGTACTACAATTAAGGTTTGTAGGTGTATTAACGCATGTTGGTAAGACGGACACAATTTATAGTTTGCTAACGATGTTCCCGCAATCTCGCTAGTGTGTCACCAATTTTTCGTCGTGGTTAGTTAAAATAACCAAATGTTCAAAAATCCCGAAGCAGTTCGTTTTACTAAAGAATTATAAATTAGCGCAGTTATTACGGCCAAGGAGTCGAAGTACAATAGTTGTACACGTACGAGTAACACGGAGTACAGAATGAGCCTTTTAACCGTTAACATCAGTAACGTTTAGCCCCTCGGGTGTCCCATACGGCCATCAGATTTCCTCCGCTCCTTCGACAGCGTCATTTGACTCATGTTTGACCTTAATCATTAAACGGTTCAAAGCGTAGAGTGTTAGCTTAGTCAGCTTGCACACGTCCAGGCAGCGCAAAGCATCGGCATCCCAGTTAGTGAGTTTGTAGTGAACATCTTCCCGTGGATCATCACTCTGGCAGATGGTCAACATCTGTCAACATGCAACTCAGGGGTTCGGAAAACTTATTATTTTTATTAAAATAAATACTCGTAACGCACGAACTGCGTATTGCGTTGCATCAGTTTAAACTTTAAACTGAGGCGCTTTAGCAACTACGCAAATACAGTACGTACTTGTACTTGTACTATAGCCTCACGACTCCACTTGTCAGACTCATCGTCAACAGACTCCTGAATCCATTCCGAGAGAACCGTTAGGCTGGGACCCATCATTGGTAAACTGGCCTCCATCAAATCCCATAGTGCGATGTCGGAGAAAGTGGCATTTAAACTGAGCACACCGGAAAAAGTTTGCTCCTCGCACAGGTACGTCAAAATCATCAGATATTTGCAATTCGTAAAACGCAGAACCTCAATCACCGGTGCCGCGGACGAACAAGCTTGGGCAACCGAATGTAGCATTACGTTTACATTACACGGAATTTCCCAAGCCAATCGATTGAAGATCACCTGTTACGTGGGGCCTTATGGGCGCCCACGTACCTTCGACGGCGAAACAGCGGCGAACCCGGATTGAGGCTTTAATGCCGAAATCTAACTCGCGCACCGTGGCGCAGCAAAACCAGACTAATGAGATCGGATCCTACAGCCAGCGCAGCTGTGCTGTAGGTCCGTCAAAACAGCAGCAATGTGTGGGATGGAAATCCCCAGAACAGCAAAACACAATGGCGAATGGCCAATCATGAAGGCGGAGCTATCGGCCTTCACACACCGTAAACCGGTTCACCGGCGGCTGCCCTTGCCGATGGGATAAAACGCTTATGAGCCCGAGACAGTCTTTCATATCGTCACAGCTTTTCCCTTCTATCGCGTTGGTAATGATGACTCGTTCGGTGATTGTGCTCACGCAGTACTGAAGAGTTCTGCCGACCATGAGACTTCGATGTGTATCAGGATTGAAAAAGATATCGCTATTCATATACGATGGCAAAAAGGAGACTCGAAGTTCTCGAAAGTTTGACGTCTGGGTTAGTACCGTATTCCACAGCGCGCATACACGGCGGTATTTCACTTGATCATAACTGTCCACATATTGAAGAATGTTTTCAAGAATTTCTACCGGCAACACTGACAAGAACTCATCTGAATCGTCGGGATTGGATTTCGTGTTGGTTTCGTCGGTTTTGCGCCCGTCGGCGTCCTTGGGTGAAATCCAGCCAGATTCGCCAAAAGTCCACCCGCGGGCAAAGCGGCTTTCCATTTCTTCTCTTGCGTTTTCCAAAGCGACTACCTGTCGTGCCAAATAACGTTCAATACTACGAGTGCTTAGTGCTTACTACAATACTCAGTAATCAGTACTGCTATATCTATAACGTTAATGAAACACCTGACTGCTAATTTGAGATCCAATTTTTGCAAAAGCGTTGGTGCATTAATTCACTGCGCCACTGACCAGATCGTGCATCTGGAAGCTCCTCGATCTGAACCCACTCCAGGCTACCAGCGCCCCAGGTATTAAGTAGCAAGGATAAATACTCCACGGCCACGTGGTGAGATTGTTCATCCAAAGATTCCATAGAGGAAGCGAAAGGCAATGATTGTCAATGGTTTCCGGCAGCGAATACCTTTGTACGTTGAAATGACCCGCACTAATGATGCGCTCGTTTAAATCGTCTGGCGACGGCGCAGTGCGGACTGCCTGAGGATCCACCAGTTCTCTGCAGACGACTGAGTCACACTGCACCTCAATGAAAACGTATTTCGACTGGAACAGATAGTCAGAGTACAGAAACAGCCGGATACCAAGTCCATGGCTGACTGGTCGATGTTCGCGCTAACACTTCAATAAACGTTTTAAGGGACTTCAATGCAATATCCACCGGCGAATATGGGTCTGGCGCGTCGTCTTCGTCGTAATAGCCGTTCCATCTCTGGCTTTCGAAGACCTTCCCGTACTCCACAAAATGGGCACGTCGACCGGGGCAGTCGAAGTCGATAATGAGGCCATCTTGAGCAATGTTTATGACCGTTCCGTATTCGAGGCCAAAACCGTCGTCTCGCACAACGTCTACTGCATTCCACCTGTAAACGTTCTCGGTTTTGAACAAAAAGCGCATTTTGATTCCAAGCCAGTGTTTATTCTGGACGTGATACGGATAATACTGTACAGATTGCGAAAATCAGTGCGGTTTTGTACATACACAATAACTAAAGGCAAACCAGACCAATAAAAACACCAAGTTTACAGAACCTGCACTGCAACAGAGAAAACGGCAAGTGATGATGGTATCGCCTTGCAACAGGAAATTTTGCTATCTGTCGGCGTTGCTTCGATCTACGCGCGGAACACAGAGAAATCTGATTGCTGCCGCACTGTATCGCGCGCTATCGTAAACACAAGTTACACATACCATGGAATGATTGTATGTGTAATGTGAACAAATGAATTTTCTTTAGTTAGTTTTGTGAGGTTGCCCGTAATACGCGGCTATGCGCCACAAATAATAATGTTTAACAGTTTAGTACTAATATTAATTTTTGTTGTTGTTGTAAAATTCATGATAATTATATCTGTGAGCGTTTGCGCCCGTTACGCATCGCGCATCGCTTACACAGAGCAACGGGCCTGTCCCATTTATAAGTTGTAGTTTATTTAAGGAATACAAATTAGAGCAATTTTTAACCGGACAGTGGCGAATCTAGGCGGGTTTGGGAGAGGGTGGACCAGAGAACTCGCACCAAAAGGGGAGTATTCTCTCGATTTTTCCGCAACCACCGTCTTATACAATTTCGCAGCATACCCCTCTTTTGCGAATTTTTTTGGCGTCCGAGTTACGGAAGGATGGCCCCTCGAGTCCCGCCTTAAATTCGCCACGGCAGCCGGAAATTCGAATTACAGTATTCGCATGCACTGTGATGCTTTTGCCATTAACATCATTATCTTGTAGCTCCTTCGTGTGGTAGATACGACCGTCTAATTCCGCAACGTCAAGTGACTCATGTCTGAAACTAATCATTAAACGGTGCAATGCGTAGAGTGTTAGTTTGGTCAGCTTGCATATGTCGAGGCGGCGTAAAGCATCGGCATCCCAGTCAGTGAGCCTGTAGTGAATACCTTCCCGGGGATCATTGCTCTGGCAGGTGGTCAATATCTGTTAGAATGCAACACATGAGTTTAATAGCAAAATGTCATTTCACTAAAATACTAGTAGTAAATAAATAAGCAGCCACCCGAGAACATCTCAGCCCGAAGCCGGTAAGCTCACAGGTGTTCACTCACAGTGTGAGCGAGTCAAATCAGCGGTTGTTTGTGAGAGTGCGCTTACTATTATACTAATTTTACAACGAGCAAATGGTCATGAGCCTTCAGTAATAAATTCTGGTTATTAACTTGACAGTTTCAATAGCGGTTTTCCATCCAAATCGCAGAAACACCACTTGGAGATAAGTTGTAGAGGACGAAGTTTTAAGTAAACCACTTACAGAATCTTATAGAATAACAATAGAAAAGTTACGAAAGGGAGTGTGTGAGTACGTAAGTAAAGTGAACCAAAGCACGCGCAGCACAATGCATTGCGGGTTTTTGGCTTAGTGGCAGCAGTATAAATTCTACCAGATTCGTTTTAATACAGAGTGACTGTGTAAATGCAGTACCTCTTTTATAGCGTTACGACTCCAAGGGTTACCGTCAACAGTCGTCTTCTGAATCCACTGAGAGAGAACCGTTAGGCTCGAATCCATGACTGGTACACTGGTCTCCAACAAATCCCATAGTGCGAGGACAGAAAAAGAGGGATTTAAATTGAGAACACCAGAGAAGCTCCGCTCTTCATTTAGGTACCCCAAAATCATCAGATATTTGCTGTTGGTAAAACGAAGAATCTCAATCACCGGTGCCGCGGAGGAAAAAGTCTTGACAACCCAATCTAGCGCCACGTTAACATTCCACGGAATTTCCCATGCAAACCTATTGAAAATGACCGTAAGCCGTTTCTTCGGCGGCTGCCGTTGCATCTGGGATAAACCGGCTAGGAACCCGAGGCAGTCTGCTATATCGTTAGAGATGTTCCCTTCGAACGCGTTGGTTATGATGATTCGCTGGGTGATTGTGCTCAGGCAGTGCTGAAGAGTTCTGCCGACCATGACACTTCGACGCGTACCCGCATTGAAAACGACCTCGGTATGCGATGACAAAAAGGATACTCGAATTTCTCGAAAGTTCGACGGCTGAGTTAATACCGCATTCCACAGCGCACTCACACGACGGTACTTCACTTGTTCGTAACTGTCCACATACTGAAGAAGGTTTTCCAGAATTTCTACCGGCAACACTGACAAAGCCTCATTGGGATCAACGGGATTTGGTGTCGAGTTAGGATCGCCGGTTTTGCTCGCGTGACGGTCGTTTGGTGAAATCCAGCCACCGATAGATGCGTTAAAAGTCCACCCGCTGGCAATGCGTCTTTCCATATCATTTTTGGCGCAAACTAATTCGCGTACCTGAGGTCAAACACAGCTCTGTTACATGCTCATTGTTTATAGATAAAGATGCGTGGGAAACTAAAATAAAGTACAGTAACTGCATGTTGGCACGAAGAAGCCCAGGCGTCTGGGTTAATTTGCTGTACAAGTTTGTTTCTTCAGTTTCTAACCTTTTGTTGCACTAACCAGCTCCTCCGAGTTGAAGCTCTTTGATTTCAGCCCACTGATGGCAAACAACGTCGCAGGCAGCAGATGTAACGGATAAATATTGCACGGCCAGCTGCATAAAGTGTGCAGACAAAGTTTCCACAACGGAAGTGGATTCGAGCGGCCATCGATGGTATCCGGCAGCGAATACGACTGTATCCGGAAATGATCAGCGCCAATGCTGCGCTGGTGTAAATCATCTGCCGACGGTCCAATACGGACTGAGTAGGCATTCACCAATTGTCTGCAGACGCCTGAGACACACTGTACCTCGACAAAGGCGTACCGTGACTGGAACAGATAGTCAAAGTACAGGAATTTAGCGGGATGCCACGTCCACGGTTGACTGGTCGATGCGCGCGCTAAGACTTGGAACGCTTGATCAGAACGCAGCAGTGCGACATCCAACAGCGAGAATGGGCCGCAGCTTTCGTATTCGTCGTAATAGTCGTTCCGTTTTTGGCTTTCAAAGATCTTGTCATACCCTACAAATTCGGAGCGCCGGCCGGGACAGTCGAAGTCGATGATCAAGCCATTTTCCGCGGTGTTTATGACAATGCCGTATTCCAGTACAGCATCATCGCGCCGCACAACGTCAACTGCATTCCACTTGCAGATTGCACCAGTTTTGAGCAGTAAAGGCATTTGGTAAATGGCAGCCACAATTCAAAATGGAAAAATGCAGAATGCGAAAACTGATGTTCAATCGGTACGTTGGGTTTCGCTCAAGTTCGTGGGGGTACATAATGATTAAATGACTGATGGCAGACTACGGTGATCCAAGAACGCTGTAACAGGTATATACTGTATCTGTATATACGGTACGCTAAATAAATACGCTAAGTAAATACGGTACGGTTGTTTACTGTTCTACATCTGTTCTGTTGCTAGTCTCAGGGATCTGGTCATAAGTGACAGCATTCCGATATCTACACTGCAAGAGGGAAAACGGCAGGAGATAATTTTTCTTTGGGTGGTACAAAGTTCTCGACATCTGGACTGTACTGCCTTTCAACAGGAAATCGGTTGTTTATCTTCTGGTTCTCGTACAGTTTTATTCTGTGGCCTGTGCTGTACAGTATAGTAGTCCGATTGCTGCCGCAACATATCATGCGTAATCTCATATGTATATGTATGCGTCATGTAAAAGATGAAACGCTCTTATTCATCAACACAATTATCAACAACACTCTTTTTACCTTCAACACTATATTAATGTCGCAGCACGTTACACATATAAATCTTATTATCAGCCTTCGAGGCTTCAACATGAACGGCCCTTGTTTCACAACAAATCTACTTCCTTTACGCTGTACGCAGGGATCGGCAGTTGCACAATCTTCTGCATGCTGGGTTTGCGTTAATTTTAATATGGTTTTGCTTGACATTTCGCAATTATCAGTTTCCACTGACTTAATTTCCTTTTAACCCGTATTTGCTATTGGCCATACTAAGCTCGTATAAGGAAATTACACCAGGGTAAACCGAAAAAGGCATTTATTTCGGTGTAATAATAGTAATACACATTATGATTTAACATGTGCATCGCGAATAGAACCGAGGAACAAACAATCTTTAGCGCACATGTCGGACCACTGGCGCACACTGGCACTGCAAAGAAACAACCATGAAGTTGTCCACATCAATAGCAGGTTTTCTTCGCAAAGCCAACTTACAAGCAGATGCTCCAGTAGAGAATATTGAAGGCTAGAAAGGCCAGCGGGAAGATGATTCGCGAGAGAAAGTCCAGTTTGTGGGCGAGTGACGAGGGTATCCGAAAAGCGAAACTCTTGCGCTGGCTCTCAGGTTCGCTTACGAGCCGCTGCTCGTTGACACTTTTGTACTTTTGTAGTAGTAATAAGTAGTGTACGCTGGCAAACTCCAGGAGACTGGCGACGATCAGGAACAGGCACACACCGGTCCACACGTCAATCGCTGTCAACCACAAGAAACCATCAGTACCTAACCCTTCCTACGCGAGAACCTCTTCCTAGAGCTACAAAATTTGTCCTTGTTGTACAGTATTAATTTCGCAGTATTCCGCTTTGCCTGAGTTCTATCTTCATCGAGCCCATCCTGTCCCTCAGGTCATGAATTCGAGCAAAGCATGGAGTGTTTCAACAGTTTATGTAAAGGATTGTATTAATTATAGAAGAGAAAGATTGACCTTTTGTGTAGGTGGCAGACGGCAGCTCGGAAGTGATACCGGAAATGGTGGTGGTCATGGTTAGGAGTGTCGTCACACCGATCAGTACACGGGCCGTTGTAGCTTCCGCGTCAAACCAGAAGGAGATGAACGACACCAACACAAGCATGGCCTACATAATATATAAAAAACAGCGGAAAACAGTGGTGTATCAACAATGGTGAGTACGTACAGCTGCAGGACATGCGCTACATGATAATATGAACTGTCTAGCTTGTTATCAATTAGGTATGTAAATTTACTCACCGTAGGTAAGTACACTTGCAGAATGTAGAATGAGGTCTGGCGCTGCAGGCGTAATCTAGCTCTAACGCAACTGAATGTCCCTACATAGGCAAAGCGATTATTATTGAGTCCGTGATCAAAAGTCCGAGATATCTTACAGCTGGTCAAACTAAAGCTTTTCAGTCTTATCATACCGGTACTGGTGTGTATTGTACAGTCTTCGGCTTAGACGCCAACCAGGCGGAACCGCGGCATGGACACATCGAATCCCAGCTGTATGGGATGAGGAGGCTGGATGCTGTCACCGGTGTCCCACACAATCTCCACATCCTTACTCGTCGTTCCGACTAACCGAAAGGTCATCACTAATGCAGTAAGGCAGGGATCTAACTAGTGTAAACTGACTTACAACTGGACAGGGGGATCGCGCACACCTGCCGATCCATGGGGAACATCCGCAGATCCATGGAACATCCAAATTTCAACGTCAGACTAAACGTCCACATTATGCAATGTTACTATCAGTTTCCAGGTTTGTGTTGCTTATGCGGCGTACCGGAGACTCATTAATACGTCACCATTTGGATAAATCCGGGTTAGGACGTCTGAAAAACATTGCAAAGGTCACCACTTAGGTTTAGTCGTACAGATACTGGCCACTGACTAGGTTGTAGTATGTTGTGGAAATGAGCGGACTGTTCGTTGGCGAAGAAGAGATCCGCTTTCCAGATGCGAGCTGGCGAAGGTAGGGTGAGGTATTCATGGTTGGGCGCGTTAAACACCAGCCGGGGATCGTTCCACCGCAGGCGCAGGGTCATTTGTGCGACGGGGGACTGCATGGAAAAGATAACATTGCCATTATAACATGCAGCTTCCGCTGTATGTTAATGCACAAACGTTTTTCGTACAGAATACACCTGCATCTGTATAAACCAAATACGTAGGCTTTTGCTCTGTCATTTCGGTATTGGTTCTCAATTCTTACCATTGTTATGTCGTCCAGATGAAAAATACTCCGGAGGAGCATGCTGACCCGGATGCGAACGGGCTGAACTGTTCCTGCAAAATTATCGTTGACTTTAATTACAACTTCTAAGCTTTCAGTATAGTTGTATTGCAAAACGCATTCCGGTAATAATTCTCCCTATGAATACCGTAAAATACTCATATATTCGTTAATTTTCTTACCGCTGCCGTTGACAATCGGTTGGGGACGAACGTCTCTATCGTAACCGGACAGCAGAATGTCGAGGATTTCTTTCTCCGAGAATCTGTGGCTGCGGGGATCCCTGTACGATTACTGATTTGTGTTTATTCTGTTTTAATTTTTATCTCCGTTATGTTTTCATAGGCAGGTGAGCTGGCACTGACTTGTGTGTGCTATACTTTTACACATGTACTTATTACATAAGTTAATACAAGCCCAGCACGGATGAATACTGTCTTAGGATTTCGAGCATGTAAAAAGGTTAACTGCATATGGCACGATGTTTATTACAATAAGGAGGCACGAACAAAATAAACAGGCGTGAGCAGAACCTGTTATTCTTGCTAATTCGCAGTTCGCTAATTTCCAATGACAGTTCGATATAATAACGCATAGTAACAATCTGGGAATTTACAAACAGCCCATGTTAAGATAATGGCCACCATGGTAACAAGCTTTTGAGTGACCACTGGACTGTGGGAATTGGGCTTTTCAGAAATTTGAAGATGCAGGATTACTCTCGACACTGAGAGGATTCTGTAGAACTTTAGAGCGTGCAGATTGGATGTGTAGAACGGGAGAACATTGAGTACAACGGCAAAGTGTCGAGGACCCTTGTCACGTAGTTAGTATTCATATAATTACTGTAATAAATATATTTTCGCAACCTTCGTAATACATTTCGGCGCTATTTCATATTTTGTAAATAAATCACAGCTTTTTGGTTATAAATAATTAAATTCAGTAATTTATTACAATAACTGCGATGCAATGACAGTGCGGCGGTTTCATTAACAAATTACATCAGTTTTGAAATAAATAATTTATTATAAAGTAGAGGAATTTAACACCCTGATGTCAGCGATGTGTAAAACAAAATGAAAAGCAGATTAAAAAATATCTCGGTGAATTAATTTGTTTATCGGGCACTTTGGCAAGATATTGCGATAGCCGAGAAAATACTAACCGCCACCCAGAAGTGAATACGGGGGACAGACATCATTGCACGAGATGCCCACGCTCTGTTGTGTTGGCACACAACAAATTACGCTACCGGCAGATAAGGAAATGCCCGCACCCAACAGAAATTAGCGGGGGCGGGGGGGGGGGCGAAAAGGGGTTGTCAGAGCATTAACAAATAGCTGCCGCACAACTTATACTAAACCTAAACTAGGCTGATTTGAATAGCGTGTGTGGAAGATAACAGTCGCAAGATGTTGTACAGTAATTAAGGCCGATAGAACCGGTTATGCGGCAGGTTTTGCAGCATTTCTGCCGACAATGTGGTGTAACGGTGGACCTTGTGCAATTTGTGTGATGCCATCAAATTTAAGGATTTGTTTATGCGATACAGCAGCGTGGCTGGAAAATTGCTTGCACGCGAACAGTGATTACTCTGTATTTTCTGATTAATTACAGCGATTAACCGATGATGATTTTCTGTTTTTCATTGATTGGACATCGACCAGTAAACCTAACACACGAAGGAAATATACGAGTATTTACGTATACAAATATTCAGTGCTGCACTAATTAATAAAAATTAGTAGTGTTTTTCTCAGTTTTCTGATTCACAGCGGCAAACAAAACGCATACTCAGGGTTATGCATCAGACAGCCATTATTTCAATTAATATTATTGTCAGGAATTATTAACAATTTATTGCTAAATTAATCAGCGTGCCTGTCAGTGCATTTATGCAAAATTTTCCCTTAGTAGGCGTCGCAAAAAACATTTCAAGTATTCTACGTTGTACAGAATGGAGCCCGGAAAAAGGTAGTTACCTAGAGCATTTCTTGTTATTTATTTCATTCTTTATTTTCACCAGAATGTTGAATACAGGGCGAAGTGCGAAGACAACTCGCAAAACCGGAGAGAGTAGACAATAATCCCGCATTTTATACCTGGGAGACCCTGGTCTAGCAATTCCCAAAACCGTAATACAAAAACTGCATATAGCCACTCAAAATTGAATATTTGGCAATATAATTTTCAAATCCATCGAATGTTCTTATACAGAGCCGGTAATTAGGGCATATCAATTTGCAGGAACGAACATCGGTCTTTGATTAACGGTTTAGTAAGGATCCGGCCATTGTCGGACGGTGGCTCTGAAAAACAGTTATTACTATAAATACAAAAATATTAGATGCTTTGTTTCCGGCACGGAACGTACAGGTAGATGCTCCAGTAGAGAATATTGAAAACCAGGAAGCCCAGCGGGAAGATGAGACGGGAGAGGAAGTCCAGTTTGTGGGCGCGGGCCACCGGTATCTGCAGACCGAACGTCTTGCGCTGACCGTACGCGTCACTCAACAGCGGCTGCTCGTTGTTGTCGATGCGCACCACCGTGTTAGTGTGCCGACGTTCGGCGCGCGAATAATAGTGGACGGCGGCGAACTCCAGGAGGCTGGCGAAGATGAAGAACAGGCACACGCCGGTCCATACGTCGATCGCTGTTAAAGAAGTTTAATACAGGTGAAAGCATTTAAACTTTGCACAGAGAAAACGCCTGACCTTTGGTGTAGGCTACCGGCGGAAGTTGGGAGTTGATGCCGGCCTGGGTGGTTGCCATGGTCAGCAGCGTCATAACGCCGATGAGGACGCGGGCGGTGGTGGCGCCGGCGTCGAACCAGAAGCTGATGAAGGACACCAGCACCAGCACGGTCTGTAAAACACGTTGAACCCTGGAGCCAGATTATCGGGTAATAATGAAAAAGCCGCCTTACCGTAGGCAGGTACACCTGGCAGATATAGTAGGAGAGTTCACGCTGGAGAAACAATCCGGCTTTGATGCAGGAGTAAGTTCCTGTTGATAACAATGCAATAATAAATAACACAGCACTGTTGACCAATTGCAGATCATAATTTTAACCATATGAAATTTTACCGAGCTGTAATTATCACTCGCGTGTACACCGGAAGGTGAGTAATCATGATTAACCCCCACAACGGAAAAAAAGAGAATGCAATAAAACGACAAAATACAAATGTGTGATTCAAAAATAAATAAAATAATATGGAAAATAAAAAACCAAACCCAACCAAATGAATCAAATAAAATATGAATGTTCGCACCGCTAGTGGTGTGCGAAGTGCACGTGCTGGCTTTACGGTCCACCAGACGGAAGCGGGCCATGGTGAGATCCGCGGCCAGCTGAATGGGCTGGAAATCCGAAGCCGCTCCGGTCTTCCACTCCACGATGACATCGCGACTAGTAAATCCATCTAAGTCAAAGGTCATCGTTGTACAGCCTGTTGCATTTGACGTGGTAGACGCCGGGCTGTACTTACAACTGGCCATACGGATCTCGCACACCTGCCGATCCATGGGGAACATGCGCAGATCCATGGGACATCCAAAGGTCACCGTCAGACTGTAAATAAACGGTTAAACAAGGCACCCTAAACAGGTCACCGTCAGACTGTAAATAAACGGTTAAACAAGGCACAATCGTGATACCGATGTTGTTGAACGTACCGCACGCTGTTCATCACGTCGCCGTTGGGAGTAATCCGTGTCATGACATCTGTAACATGATAAAGGTCATCGGCTGCACTGCAGTGTGATGATTAAAGAATTTACTGACTGGGAGTGGGGACCATGTGGAAGTAGGCGGAGCGTTCGTTCTGGAAGAACAGATCCGGCTTCCAGATGCGATCGGGATCCGGCAGGTTGAGATGGGCCAGGTGCGGCGCGTCGTAGGCCAGTCGCGGATCGTTCCACTCGGTGCGCAGTGTTATCTGGGCGTCATACGCCTGCTCACAGGACATGTACGTTTTTAATCACAAGCAGGGTATTGAATTCAGGAAAACTGAAGCTTCGTTGTTAATGATCAGTGGGTCAATGATTTAACTAAACAAATACTAAAAACAACATATGGTAACAGTAAACATATGAATTACTGCTTTATCATAAGCCGGCTGACTGTTTTTTTAATCATTTGCCGGGACGTTGTCCAGCAGGTTCACGGTTTTACGCTGTGTACGTATATTACGGTCGTTCAGCTGTCTTTATAATGTTCGGCAATTCCTAATTAATTTTAATTTTTTTGCAGTTTTGTTTGAACTTACGAGTATATTCTACTGGCACTCGGGGAGACCGGTTTTAAAGTAATTTTATGTCAACTGGGCTTACCATAGCGATGTCGTCCACACGGGTAATACTGCGGATGAGCATGTTGACGCGCACATGCACCGGCTGACTTTCACCTATAGTCAATCAAGTATGAATAGTAAATTATGGTTATGTAAGAAGCTGAATTAATACAGCTGTAATCACGCAACGGACGCAAGGATTACCGGTGCTGTTAAGGCCAGGGCGGAGCTTAGTATCGTAGCCTTCCAGCAACATATCCAGGACTTCCTTTTCGGAAAACCGCCTACATAAAGCGGATCGTTCAAGCCAATGAAAATAGCTGCAGCACGGCAAGTACCACCAGAGCAGGTTTTTATTCCCAAACTTAATGGCTATCTTTTTCTGGCAAAAACTTCTAGAAAGACTGTTTACTGAAATGCAAACTTGGAGAAATATTTGGCCAGATTTTATTTTAACTCGGCAAAGGTCAATTCAAATAACAAACCGGCGCTGGTTTGAACTGAAACCTTTAATAAGTCCGATAACTATATGATCCAAATTAAGTAGCAAAATCAAATAATTAATGATCAATGATCTAACTAAAATGATTCAAAATTTTCAACAGTAAAAGCAGATGAAAATGATAAAAATAAAATGTGTGCAAATATATTATTAAATCAAATCAATAATTGGCATGCAGTGTCACATTGGGCAGGGCAAGAACTGGTTCATATAGCTTTCGTAAATAATTTTTAATAATGCGCTGCTGAAATACTTGCTTTAAAACTAGAGAACACAAGAGAAAATAAAAATACGATGTTAGGCCGTTAGAAACGTTAATTATGTACTCGTACAACACATATTACTAAGTACGTGAAAGTTCAAAAATATTGTTTATGTTATTTCTGAAGACGAATTCGATGTAGAGAATAATAATAAAGTTGAGTTTTCAAAAACTGTATTCATTTAAAATTATGTTTTGATAGTTGAGAAATTTTTACCGCTCATTTTGGCAGGATACTCCAACAACGGCGAAGACAGCCACTGCCAGCAAATACCGGCAAATGTTAGCGAATTTCATGATGTGAAATTACCACGGCTTCCCAGATAATAAATCACCGCGTTGTTGGCCGACAAAAAATACCGCAGAATAATTTTTGCTACAACTGAATGCAGCTGGCGCAGGTGCGAAATTTCAATGTCAGTGGGAAAAAACTGTCACGAGAGTTATTCTGGGCGCGACTTAATGTGTGCAGAAAACAACAGACACACGGTGCGTTCGGGTCTAATGCTAATGCAACCGGTTTCCAGGCCGCCTTAGTTAGTCCTTATGCGGCAAGTTCTGAAGGATTTCCGCCGGTAGTGTATTTGCTGTTTGGCTAGGAAAAGGTTTTGTAACCCTGTTCTTGATGTTATCGAAGGTGCACTCGAGCGATAAAATAAAAGTGTTTCCACAGCTGAACAGCCTGTGTATTGTGACCGGGTGATTATGCAGATTAATTGTCGATTAACCGATATACAATGCACCGGCTGCTGCCTTTTCCAGTGAAATCACGCGGTTGTACCGCGTAAAGCATAATCTGATCCTTCTAATCAAAAAGGCAGTCACAAAAGAATTATTTTAAAAAAGACAGCAAAAAATAAAATTATGTTTATTTAATTAAACCATAAAAATAATGCTTTAGTTAAATTGAAAATAATAGCACAAAAACGACACTTGTAACTGCACGGTGCATGCTGAAAATTACTAAAACAGCATCAGGAAATGATTTAGTAATAGTAAAAATAAACCATCACAAACAATACATATAAGACCGAAATAAAGTAATAATGCGGTAAACAATAAAAATTCTAAGGAATAAAAACTCAAGGACAATGCTAATTGATTAGCATTGAAAGGTTTGGTACGATAAGGACTTGACCGGCGACAAGCGATATATACTGTAGAGTGCAGATATCAATAATACGAAGTATGCGTAGTAACTCGTACATAGTAAACTATGACAATACATAGAACAGTGTATGTGACAATCGCCAACAATTTTATTATGCAATCAGTTGTCCATAAAAACAGATTTGTTTACATTTTGTTTTCTGTCATCACGAACTTCATCTCTAACACACTCAGACCTCAACCGCTAGTCTGCCGCCATATATGAAGCAAAAATTATTTCTTAATACTTTGCATAAGGAAGAAAATGTGAACTAGGTAGATGCAACAAGTTGACCTTTGCATGCTATGCAGCGGTACGGATTTGCTGTGCTTATTTATATGCGCATTGCGCACATTATTGTTATGAAGTCTAACACTAGAACACAGTCACTTCAACACATATTTTACGGAACGATCGTCGACATAGCACAAACATTAAATGCCGTAAAATGGCTGCTTTAAAACTTTTCAATACAGTAAGTAAAGAAACTTGGTTACCAGCGCAAACATAACACCCACCATCGCGCCAACATTCCCTATAAACTAACACACATGAGTGACATGGGCTTATACAGAATTACACCCAAGATAAAAGAGAAGAAATTATTAATGTGGAGCCGCATCCGTCGACAGCCCAGTATATACCGTACATGTATCAAATTATTACTTACTCAGTAGGTAACTGCTGCAAGTCAGCACCAGTTACCTAATTAATTTAATTAACTACTCGTATCCAATTTTACATGTTGTATTGTATCTGTACATCAATATGTTTACAGCTACTTTACTTACTAATTCAACGATCACGGATGGTTCTTTATTTCGCATTGATAACTGATTAATTTTCTGCATATCGCCAAGTATTTCGTATTCGTTTTCGAAAACAGCTCGCTTTAATTAACTTAATGAACTGTTATTAGCTTAACCGAAAATCGAGAATACGAGTACAAACAATAATTAATAAATCTTAAGACAAATTATTCGTTCCATGACAAAGAGAAAAAGCGGGAACCGCTTTTCAAGGTCTGCTCCCAGAATTGTTGCGGCATCATCGAAGCATGCATATATCATGATATATGCATGCTTCGATGATGCCATAACATTGAAATCTGCAAATAAAATTATTACGTTGTGTTGTAACAAAAATATCCAGAAAACAGCGCAACAATTTCCTGTGCAAGGCGATATATAAGTATTTACTTGCTGATAAAAGCAAAAAGCAACTGATTTAAGGGTGACTGTGATCCATGGCATTCCATGCGTCTGACGCATACGTACTTCTAGCAGTTCTATACAGTACATACTTTAATTTACCAACAGAAATACGAAAACAATAAACATAAATTCAGTTTACGAATATGAACTTGTTTAAAGTTAAGGAGGCTTTGTAGAAAAAACCGGACAAAAGCGTAAAGCAAAGCCATTATAACAATTATTTGCACTTTTGTAATAAACTCTGATGCACGAGTAAGTAAAAGCATAAAAGAGTACAATCATCTGGTAGCTGCTGTACATACGGACAGGAGAAAACAATCAATTAAAGCATGACTTTTTTTCCATAAAATTACAGTAATTATGTAGAAATTCATGCAAAATAAAATCCATTAGTTGAATAATTTTTCTTATTACGCCAGGCAAAATCTCACCGCATATAGGCCGCCCTGGACGACGGCGCATATGATGAGATTGGTTAGGAGATCGAGCTGGAATTGTCACATCACTTCTAGCTCAATGTCTTAGCAAATCTCATTGTACGCCGGTGTCGCCGTGTCGGCAGTAGTGACAACATAAGACGCCATCAGCTTTAAATCTTTGATTATGATTAGTACCCTAAGGATTCTACGCATGGACTTCCTCCACTGTCAGCCGGTATCGTAGTCCTCCGCGCGATGACCTTTCTTACAGTCATAGAAACACCAAATTGACAAACTTACGAAAACTGTCATCAGTAACGATGCAACAACGATAAATTTAAAAATAAAATACAGGCCCGAAGTCATCTTGCATTACCGGCATAATTTTATTTACAGCACTAATTAGGTACTTGCATCTCCAGCAGCCGTGCAGCTATTGCCGGGATGGGGAAGAAGGCGACCGCGACACGGCTTGATTTCGAAAGAAATCAGCTGTCCGAAAATAAACGCGGTTAGCGGAAATATAACTGAGAGGTTAGTTAGAGCATGGACAAGCGAATGTATGACCACAAACAACAGAAATACGTCGTCCGCATACAACATCGATTTATGTGCATGGGAATGCGAAAACAGCACTACGTTCCAACTTCCGGCCAACGCGCCCATTCAAGCCGAAGCGTTCACGGTGATTAGGCCGCAGGATTTCGGCTGTCGGCTGATTTCTATGTATCGCTTAATGGCGTTTGATTATTATGTATATGGAAATGCAGAATGTACAATAACGAAATAGACGGGAGACACGACATTAGTCGGGAAGCGATCAAGCGAGTAGTACTTGTGTTTGGGGTGTTTGGGGACATGTAAGGTTAGTTTACGAACGAACTATCCGCTCCAAAGTGGTAAACACGTCGTCGCGAATACCGCCATAACGGGTTCCCATCTAGAGATTCTTGACGGACTAGGGAGAAGCCATACCCATAATAGGGGTACCAATACACGCCAATGCCAATGCTATAAAAAATGTTTTCACTTATCGTGCGCTCCTATGTTCATGGTGATACTGCCCTTTTAAACTGAACTGGGCAAACTGGACTGAAAACGACTAAAAAATTACTTTGATAATTAACAAAGAGTATGTTTAATATTGTAACGAGAAACTCTGTAGGAAAAAAATAAAAGTCAGAAAAGAAAACAGTTTCTGATACTCATTAAGCACTGGAGCCTATGCTGCGAATCGTACATATGTATTACACAAAACACCCGCCAAGCACAACGTTCCTGATCGCAACGGTGCCATCGTTCTACGAAACTAACCGCTGTAATATTTTTAAAGCTGAGGCTAATTCAGTTACAAAAAGCAGTGCAATTCAGAGATGCGTTCATTTGATTGTTTTTATAAAAAATTAATCATTGACACTTTACCATCCCGTAAGGTACCTGTTATCGAAGTTGATTTGCCAACGAGTTCTGGGTATTCAAGCACATAGCCACCATACTACGATTTTCAACAAATTCTTGATGTACGACCAACAGCTCATTCCATAGTGAAGTATGAGCAAAGTAGTAGAAAATACCAGCACAATCAGCGCAAATTCTGTATGGTGACTGTCCGCCTAAAATGTTGCTGTCAGAGTTTCTACTGAGCAGCGTTTGATTTCAGGCGCACGTTTCCTTGTTTTTCTGTGATCCCCGGCTCTGCGGGATTTTTCGTTTTTGCGAAATGTTTGTAACTTTTCAGTTATTTTTTTAAATTTTTAAAAAATTTTGTTGTCCCCAAGCGTGACATATTCAAGTAGGTAATCGTTACAGCTGCTGCCGAGGATCCGGAAAGTGCCTACGTTACTGTAATGCTTTGATCCACCAGTAATGCAAAAGCCCACAAACGGCCCCCAACTAGCAAACCAGAAGAAATATTTACAGACAGTTACAGCAAACAACGGGAAACCGTATTCTGTCTCAGGGTTTCAAGTGGAGAGGTTGTAGTCAAACATTAGTGGAGAAGTGACTCAGGTCATGCATAAAGCTTGTATCTTTTATTTCAATAGCATGATAACAATATCAAGATCTAATTATGGTTAAACGAAACAGCGTTCTCTACAGTACCGATTGCTGAAGCAGCATTACCACGTTGAACTGCAAAGAGATGTTCTGTTTCAAAAATTCCAGACTACGAATCTCGCCGGTTTGTAGCAAAATCCTCTTCCCAATCTCGTTAACAAATCGTTTGGCAGATGTACCAAAACTGCCGAATGTTTCGAAACCGACAGCCTTAAATTCGTATCGCCCCAAGAGGAAGCTGTACTTTCTTGCTTATAACAGCTTAATGCCACGACACTACAAATGAAGACAAACGTTAACGTCGTCAATGACAGTACCAGTACTCATCAGTGCTATTAACGATAAATTTTAATATTTCATGTAGGCTCGTAGTGAAGTGGCTGAGAAAGGATGTGCCTTATACGCAGACAGCCACCCGCTACATTGTACCGTAATATGACTCAAGCTGTTCGAACTTCGACATTTACTACTACATATCATCAGTATTATTACTACATCAGCATTTACTACTACATTTACTACTACATCAGCATTTACTACTACATATAGATATACGCGTTTGCGAAAGGCTATTCAACAGAAAACTTAATTCACAACTTGAATTCGAAGCCATACATGTAAGCTATGACCGTTAAGTTGACAAGAAATGTCACAAATCGGTTAAATTTACCTGGAACAACAGTATTATACAAAACTGCACGCAGAATATCTGTCACGCCGCGATCCAACACTATTACAAAATATTTTCTAATGCAACTTATCCGAGGTATAAATAAACCACCAGA